AAAATACAGAAAAAAAATAGAAGAGGCGAATCCGAGAACCAACAAATTAAATTGGTGTGGCCTAAAACTAAAAACCTGCTCACCCCATGGCCCTGCTGCTCTGAATGGTGACAGTGGGTTGAAGCGCAGCAAAATGGAACCAATCGCCCTCATCCAATCTGGGATCTGCAACAAGTTTTAATACACATTTGTCTTACTTGATTCCAAAGAGTTAGCCTATATGTTTGAGACAACTCTGGTTGTATTTTTAGTATCAAGACAAATTTTTGTGTGCATTTCAATACACAATGCTAGTATTTATTTTTATATTACTTGATACTAGTACATTTCTGTATTTGCAGTTTGCACAAATCGTTCAACGAAACTAAAATAACCCCTTTCACCTAGCCTTGTATCCATCCATTTTCAGCCAAAAATGCCTGGGTACCAGACTAACTCCTTACCTGAGCTCTCTGTTCTTCAGCAGCCTCTTCTGTCCTCTCTGGGAATCCCCAGGGGTCGGCCAGTATCAGGTGTTTGACTCTGTCTGGGTGTTTGATGGAGTAAGAGGCTGCCAGAAAACCCCCAAAACTGTGTCCCAGCAGGATGAACTTCTCCAGCCCGACACCCTCCCTCCATTCCTCGATAGAGTTCACAAATTCCTCCTCAACGGCGTCTGCATTGGTGTTGAATTTTGGACGAGAACTTTGCCCGAAGCCAAGCACGTCAAACGCGTAGACAGCGCGGTGCTTGGCAAAGGCATCAATGTTCAGTAACCAGAAGCCTACTCCAGCTCCAAAGCCGTGGATCAGGACAATCGGCAGAGCCTCTGTATTTTGGGAGTCGACTTTTAAGGTCCATATCCTTCTGTCGTTGGAGATGGGGACGTAGAGTCTATCCACCTTTGATTTTACATCTGGGAAGAACGTTTCTTAATTAATGAATATATCTAGATCTCATTAGCTGTCATCTTAAAATCAGAACAAATACATTCAAAACAGTCATTTCACCTTCAAATCATACTGTAAGATTAAACCTTCTGGGAGAGACAACAAGAAACTGAATACTTTGGCCTCAACTGCTTTTATTACTCTAGGTATTGTTTTTGAGAATTGCAGAATAGTCGCAGTTCACAGCAGGAGGGACATGACGTACAAAAAAACGAACCAAAAACCACATTTGAAATTATGTACAACAGTCCTCTACACTTCTTTGCTAGTGTAATAAATTTGTATTGTATCATAAGTGCTTGCCTTTGAGCATATAATTCGTCGACAGGGACGGCTAAATCTAACAGACCAGTTGGTTTTACAGCAGGCTAAACTGCTTTCAATCCAAAAAGTAATATTTTTATAAAAAAAAAAAGATGCGAACTCAAGTCTGGTATCCAGTCTTTTACGTGATTGGGGCTATTAAGGGTGTTCTGGCAAGCTGTGTCTTCGGTGACGCTAATAGCTTCCCCCGCCCCGTGAAACAGGCCGTCCCGGTAGGAGTGTTACGCTAATAACAGATGGTATGCTTGGGGATTTGATTTGCCCCAACTAATCAATCTCCCTTCGTGAAATACACACCGGGAAACCTAGCTGAGGCGGGCAGGACAGAGCTCCTACCGCCCCGAGAAAAACCCGACCCTACCACGTAAGACTGGATACAAGGTTAGGCGAACTTACGCTGCAGGACTCTTGTTTCAGCGGCGGCGAGGTGAGCTGCAGACGTCGGTCGCCACCTCAGCCGTCTTCCCAACCTGCACCTGTTAGAGAAGTGGGTCATGTCGAATGTCCTCTCACAAGTCCTGCAAATATTTTTCCCTACTAAACTGAAATTCATTCCAACTTTCTACTAACGATTCCCTAAGTGTATGGGAAGCGGGAATATCACACAAATATATAGATAGTGGTGAATCACAATGAGTCATATGTCGATGACTTGGGCGGCCGGCGGATGACTTGCAAGTTTTCTCAAAGGTGAACGCCCCTCTGAAAAGCCCTGCTAAATTTCTCGGTCTCTTCTGCAGAACATTTAACACTTACTTAGCCCAGTGCTTACTAGTACTCGTAAACAACGATCTGACATGGTGGGAAAACATTAAAAGTTACCTGGATTGTTGGGAAGACGAAAGTCCCTGGTTTGGGACGGGAGCGTCGGTCATGTTGTTGTCAACAACAAACTATTACGCAACTGGCGTGAACTTCGACCTACCGGGTGGCAAAGGTCAATATTATTCGCGTGTCCCGTCACTCGCTACCGGTTACCGTCCTCGTAACTCTTTCCAGCAGAGCTTCAGTGCCTCACGAACATTTCCTTTACTCTCATCAAGGCAAATCTGCAAAATCTTCTCCGTATTGTTTCTTGTGGTTACTGTATTGTACTTCTTAACAAACCTGGTAGGTGGCGCTGCCACAAAAAGTATGTAATAATGTATGCATCATTTCGGTGTAACCATGGAGGTAACTACCTCCATGGTGTAAATTGACAAGAGACGCAAGAAAGATAAACATTCCGAGAGTGTTCATTTGTTGGGAATGGATATTCTTTTGATGATAATCAATGTTAAAATTTGAAACAAATCTCCCACAATTTATATTAATGTGGTCTGTGGTATTTAAAAAAGAGTGCTTCATAGAAAATAATTGGGCACCAAAAGTGTGATTTTAGGTTGATCATAAATTCTGTTTCATGTACATGTAAACAAAAACAAAAATACACCATGACAGTAACGGGACGTTAGGCATTAAAATCTATCAATAATTCATTCACAAGTGAGAAAAGTTCACACACACTGTTGTGAACCCACTGTGAACCATATGTGCATTACCATACAAGAACCCCCCTATCATATAAGTAGACTAGTCCTGTTACACAACCCCCTATCTTAGAAGTAGAATAGTCCAACCCAGGAACTTCACTCTGGTGCTAGGAGTCCTGGAGGCAACACAATAAACCATCAAGCTCCACAAAAGTCCAGTGTGCGACCAGTTCTTTACAATCCAGAAGAACCTCTTCACAACACACACGTATATATTTGTTAAAAACCTGTTCTGTGATGGCATTCAATCAACTTGAGTTTATCTGAGGACATAGGATATGAAAGACACATTCCTGAGACAGTTTCTAGAGGTCTGCATGGGTGGTATTACTGTATGATTACTTACAAAATAACTAAATTCTCATTCGAAAGAAACTTTGTCAAATTCAAGGACACAATTAATACATTTGTGTCCTTTACGTTGAATACCTTAGGCTTAGACCGGTCTGATTATGAATCAAATAAATTGAAAATGGCTGATTACACTTGATGGAAACAAGGCATGCAGACTCTAATAGTACATACACTTGTACATGGCACCATTTTCATCAACATTAGGCTAGATATACTTCAGCTTATCCACTCGGCTCATTCTGTTAATTCAGGTGGTACTTTGTCCTCTTTGAGAGCACCACATTGAAAGACTAACACATGAAGTGGATAGAAGTAGGAAAGATTCACTTTACACTATATAATGCACTGTAATTCCTGCCAAAATATGTTCAGTTCTACAAGCATCTGACTTACATGTATACAGTTGAGGATTCCAAATTTCTCAAGTGCTCTCATATTCTAAGAAGTCCGAGTAACATTCAGAATCACTTGACATTGGAGGGTGTAACTGACGTCCACTTACATTATTGTACATGTATAATTTCATAGATAATTTAATCATTTTAAAAGATAATGCCAGACCAATTCAGTTTCTGTTAAAAACATATTTTACCCCAAGAGAAATGAACAGCTAATAAATTGTACCAGAAGTTGCTATTCAGCACTAATAAGATACATAGGCTAGCAGAGCAGTGAGGATCACAAATAACCTGATTTTCGCTCCGACTGCAATAGACTGTAAAATGGTTCTGTATAGCATACAAAATGTAGCTACATTCAATACAATACACTTTTTTTTATTGCAGCTTTTATCACAGTACCCTAGGCCTAGGGAAAAAAGGTTGTGTTTCCTGTTTCAGTCTTTAAAAATTATCTTATTTTTTTTCTTTTAGATCTCTATATAGTGATCAAACTGATACAGTAGAATTCAATAAAGAAACACTTGCATGAGAAAACTTATAGTTTTAATGTCAATGTTGAAAAACTGACTGTATAATGTTTCACCACTCAGGTATCAGATCATAGAGCTAGAAAAGATTTATCAACTTGAAAAATTGGCAGGGTTCCACCAAAAAAAAGGCTAGGGTCAGCAGTTTTTTCTAGTGTCGGTTGGAAAACAGGAAACACAACATTTTTTTTCTTAGGCCCTATTAACAATGTGTATTATACTGGTGGGATATAAATACTAGCCATCAGTTTGTTCTACCAGCACTATCTAAATAGTAGTCTCCACGTTGATCTTTTCGGATAGCTGTGCCTTGTCTGTCCTGGCACAAACTTGCACCACCAGCCTGTTGAAGTCCTCATACTGGTCAGCGTACACGTGGTGTCCAGCCTCTGGCACACTCTGCAGTGGAATAACAAGAAATCAGTGATTTTAGACTTCATGGATTGTGTAGGTAATACCGGGTATCTTTTTTCTTATTTAGTTCATGGTTCACCACAAAACAAGGCTCATGAGAGCCACTCAAATGCTTTGGGTTACTGTACAGCCAGAGAGGACGGATGTTTGTTGACCTTAGACCTGAAGAGTTTAAGGTTATACCCATATGGGAAACAATCATGTGGAAGCTTATTCCATAGCGATGTTGTTCTAGGAAAGAAGCTTTTAGCATGAGAGTTTTGGGACTGCAATGTATGATCAGAGGGAAATACTAGATACATCGCAACATCTTTGTTACTGTAATTCCTGATTTTATCACAGTACTTTTATGTTCACTCACTTCACTGTTTTCACTTCTGTGGCATGAACTAATATCATTACCATTGTCAAATCTTTTGTCCCCCTCTCCCTCCACTGAGAAGATTAAGGTTCGGTGAGCATGTCCAGTTTCCTCAGACTGGGAAATTTTGCTACCATAAAGAGATGAATTACAGTATCATTCACATTACCTGTACTGTAACAGTAGGGGGTTTATAGGCGCTACCAACTGACCCGGCCAATGGGTCTAGACCTTTTAGCTTAGTGGTTTGAGCGTTGGGTTATGTGCTCGGGTGGTTGTGGGTTCGAACCCCGGCCCGGGACCAGGAGTGTCTTCTGTATCTACTCGCCCCTCCTGTTTCTTACAGTGGTTCCCGCACCGGCCCTGGGAGTTCTGGCAAAGAGTGCCGCTCCAGGGATGTCGAATTCGGAAGATTCGAGGATGAATCTTGAAAAGAAAAGGGGGAGTAGTGTAACAGTAGGGGGTTTATAGGCTTTAGATTTTGAAAATTACAACTTCTCACCTGGACATCAACATACGAGCCCTGCCGTTGTGCCTTGACTTGTTTTCCTGACTCCTTGTCCATCCAGGACCGTGCACCGTAGATGAACGTGACCGGGATGTCTCGCCGTAGCTGTGTCATGCGGGGCAGCATGGGGTTCCTGGCCCAGCCAAAGGGAATCTGCATGTAAGAGAATGCAGTCTCCCCACTGTGGAATATAAAAGGTATATTTTCAACACAATACATCGTCATCAAATGGTAGAGCGGCTAGGCTAGCAGACACTATATCGAGAGGACATGTTTTATTCCTGGCTAGACATTGTGTCCTTGGGAAAGGCACTTAAAATGACGTTCCTCACTGCTCTGCCTTCCAATACTGTGCCCTAGACACAGTGGACTAACAAACAACCCACTGCCTCTACAGGCTTAAAAGTGCTATGGGATTACAAATGTACCTACACCTTTTGTAGTTTGAGTTGAAATCATCAATACAGTATTTATCAAATCATTAATACAGAATATACTATATACAGGTAAAAAGGTCATCTTAAAAAAATAAAGTATATCTGAAGAATGTTGCAAATATTGGCTTACCTTGGAGACTGGGCATTGCAGTGGTAGAGGTAGCTGAAGATTGTGTCATCGTCAAACACTTCGGAAAACTTTGCCTGGAGGTCTGGTCGGAACCTTTGTACAAGACCTGGGCCTGTAGCAAATATAGGGGGCATTTAGAAAAACAACATGTGACAACTGTGTCTTGTTGCATGATGTCATTTTACATGTACATGTATTACCTTTCTAGAGTCTTAATATAAAGCATTAGTAACTACGCTTACAAAGTTAAAGTACCAGTGCCACTACAGAGTACTATCGCTAGTAGTTGTACTTAATCAAAATTTACATAATTTTATGCAGAGCTTGGGTCTGACAGTCATTCAATTTAATACTTGTAGAGTCTGCCACTGTTATGTGCCTGGCTATAGGTAAAGATTTTTTCAACTCAAACTGTCAGTAAGGAGCATTCTGTCAATTCTAAAGAGCAGATATTGAAAGGTTAGCCCACGGTCTCATGTATCATGGCAAAGATCTCCAGGTGCTCACCCCAGGGCCCAGCTGCCCTTACAGCTGCAAGAGGGTTGAAGTTCAGAAGAACAGTACCAACAGCTTTGATCCAAAATGGCACCTGGAACATCAAGATTAAGATGTATAAACAAACATATATGTGAACTTCCTACATAATTAATACTTACCCCAGGGTCCAGCTACCCTGACCGCTGCTAGCGGGTTGAACTGCCACACAACAGTACCAATAGCCTTGATCCAAAATGGTATCTGGAAATACCAGGTCAGATAGACATTTATGACTGTTCCAGCTTTTAGTTACTGTTCCAGTACATGAACTATCTTCAGAAGTGATTTATATCTGCATACAGTTGAAAATACAGCATCTACCTTGTGTGTCATGTTTCATGTCACCTGTAAAAGTCAACATAAAGCTAAAAAAGACTCCACCATAAAATGATAACTATTCACTTCAAGATGAATGTTTCAGAGAATAGCATTGACAGAAATTGGTACAAAAATGTAAAGAAAATCTTAAATCCATAAAGTTATCTCAAGGACATTATACACATGTGTATAATGTCCTTGGTTATCTGAACATCTTACCCGAGCTCTCTGCTCCTCGGCTGCCTTCTCTGTCCTTTGTGGGAATCCCCAGGGGTCGGCCAGTATCAGGTGTTTGACTCTGTCTGGGTGTTTGATGGAGTAAGAGGCTGCCAGAAAACCCCCAAAGCTGTGTCCCAGCAGGATGAACTTCTCCAGCCCGACACCCTCCCTCCATTCCTCGATAGAGTTCACAAATTCCTCCTCTATGACATCCGCCTCCGTGCTAAACTTCGGCCGAGAACTTCTTGCAAATCCAAGAACGTCAAACGCGTACAGTGATCTGTGCTTGGCGATCGCATCGACATTCAATAACCAGATAGCAGACCCAGCTCCAAAGCCGTGGACCATGACAATAGGGAGGGCTTCTGGCTTTTTGGGGTCTACTTTTAGAGTCCATATCCTTCTGTTGCCTGTGATTCGAACGTAGAAACTCTCTAAAGCAGACTTCACATCTGGAAGAGAAGTTCATCACAGTCAGTTTTAAATTTTTCAGAACTGTTTATCAGCTGTGAAGACCTCAATAATGTAACTGATTTCATAATATATGTTATTATTACTACATACATGTATGTACCTCCTTTTTGTTGCTTTTTATCACAGTTATGTGATATGACACATACTTATCCTTCTGTCTATATAATTTGGGGGTAGATGGGCATTCCTGACTATGGTACATTGACAACTTACGCTGTAGCACCCTCGCCTCTGCAGCAGCCAGCTGTGCCATGGATGTAGGACGCCACTTGATGTTAAACCAGCTTCCCAGGAATGACCTGAAACATATAAAGTTACCACATCACTCTGTAAAACACTGGCCACTTTGAGACCTTGATCATAGTTGATGAAAGTCAAAAACATTTACTCAGCTACATGTACACAATGTTTACAGATAACTTAAACTCTGGGCAAATGGTATAGAAGGGCACACACACCCCAAGTGAACCCCCCTCAGTGAAGTCCACCACCACCCTAGGCACTGAGCCATAACTTTTTGTTGATAATCAAGTTAAAATTGTTTTCTGAAGTCTTGTAACAGCCCCAAAACAGGGAGGCTGCCCTGGAGGCTAAGCTAATTCTGGGTCCCGAATTCTTTACATTTAGTCAACTTCCAAACACCCCAAAGCAAAGAGGGTACACAGGGGGTAAAGTAGGTCACTGTTATCTGTGCTATTATAATGAGATAACAATGCAGAATTAACGATAAGGACTCCTTCCTAAAGGTTATACTAATTCACGCGTCGCAAGAAAAAGGCTAGTGTAGTTCGAAGTCTGAGTCATAAGAACGTGTACAGGTAAAGAGTGACTTGCATGTTTTGCTGAAGACCCCCAAAATAAGGGCCAAAATTATATATGCATGATCAACAATCGGTATTTCCGTCTGTCTACGGTTCTCCTATGTTATTTTCGCTTTCTTAAAAGTTCTTCCCATACACAAGACTACAAGGCACAACCCAGTAACATCTTCTGTCGTTGACATTCAAAGGAAAGCGCCCAACTCACCCCGATTCGACGACAGCTAACTCGTCTGACTTTGTGCCGTCCTCCATGATGTTGTGTAATACTAGTCAGGTGACGCAAGTGACCTGTGACCCACTTTTTGTTTGCATTGCGTAATCAATTGAATAATGTTACTCAACGATTGTTTTCTGTGTTTGAACGCCACAATTATGATTCAGAAAGCGAATTTCATTCCCCATATACAACCAAGACTTTGGGACGTTTCGAGCCGGCCTCCTTGTTGACATTCGCGCAAAATTTTAAGCCACCCCTCAGATTTAGAATGGCTTCTTCTATCCACCCGGAAGTGAAAACAAGGTGTGCACTTGCTTGCCGGTGTGACTTACAGCTGTTTGAACGCTGTAACGACAGAGTTTTGCCGATTTCTAGCCAGATTTTGAGATGTCTCCCCCGGTGACGTTAAACGTCGGCGGGCACATTTACACGACATCGCTGTCCACGCTCACCAGCTACCCGGACTCGATGCTGGGCGCCATGTTCAGCGGCGATCTACCGACGGGGAGGGACGACCAAGGGCGCTACTTCATCGACAGGGACGGCGAGCTCTTCCGCTTCGTCTTGAACTTTCTCCGCACCACGGAGCTGCTGCTACCGGACGACTTCAAGGAAATCTCCCAGCTTAAGAAGGAGGCGGATTTCTACCAGATTCAGCCGCTTATCGAAGCGCTGAGGAGGGAGGAGGCGAGGGCGATGTGTCCGAGAGGGGAGGGCGACGTTCTCATCGTGGAACACATTTTCAACAAGAACGCCGGCGGGAACGAGTACAGGATTGTAGTCAGTAGAACCCAGCCGGATTCTGTACTACAGGAAGTCAAACAGGTGTTGTCAAGCCTGGCCGTGGAGTGCAACAGACAGGAGCTCCTACCCGCCTGGATACGGAACCTCCGCGTGTCAGTCCATATCGAGGAGAAGTGGAAATGGTCGTTCGAGCTCATCGCGACCTTCACGGACGGAGGCGGGATGCCCCGAGCCGCGAACATCGAGGCGGTGGTGCCCGTCACCGCGCTCCTCAGGGCGTATATAGACACGGGGTACGTTTTGCAAGGAGGGCCGACTCCAGTACTCCAACACGACCCCAAGGAAGCGGAGAAGTGGGTGCTAGTGAGGAAACGGAACTCGCCTTCTCCGTCTTAAAGATTTGCATGGGGTGTGCATGATCAATTAAGAAGGTTCAATCTTCTTTTTGGTACGTGACCTCCTTGGGTTCCTAGGAGGAAATCAGGAGGTGGTGCTACGTCGGCATGTTTCAGCCAGGTCACAAATATCCGCCACCCGGAAAATAAATGCGTCTCAAATGCAACGTCCCCAAGTATAACGTTAATGTATTACCTAAACTTTGCATCCATGGGGGTGCTGCACTTCATGAGATCTCTCTCTGTTTCTCCAATTGGCGGACATATGTAACCCGACTGATATATGTTAATGTAGGTTGTTATAGCCTCTACCAGGCACCGCGGATCGCTGGAAAAATAGTAGAAATTGGCCGAAATAAATGAATGATATATTATTCCTTTATATTATTCCTTTATTTCGGCCAATTTCTACCATTTTTCCAGCGATCAGCGGTGCCTGGTAGAGGCTAGGTTGTAAATCTTTTACAGTAAGGAGAGGACTGGTGCTATCCGTTTTGCGTCGCCAGTATTTCAGGGACTATGCCATTGATGTACAAAATATGAGCTGCAATTTACAAATGCCTTGTCCTTGTACTGTGCCCCCAAAGGGAGATGACTACTAGTATATAAGACAGTTGCAGTAAAGTTATGTAGGAACGATACTATCAGTGCAAATGCCACGGGGAGAGAAGGACACAGTGTGTGGAAATATATGCACGGGGAAACGATGTCTAGTGGTAATGTATATAGGAAATTCTATCGGTAAGTGCATTTATCAGGGACTTAATAGTATTACTGAAATGTCGACGCTGACTTGGCTTCCGTTACGCTATTTAACGTTACATGTAATGTCACAGTGAAAAATTCGCTCCAATTCAAGATTGTAGGACAGTTCTTGTATTTGATATTAATGTTTATTTTTATATTATTTATTCATTTACTAACATTTTATCTAACCACCAGTGTACTTACAAGCTATTTTTATTGTGTTATTTATATGCTCAACATGATAGTACGACATCGTTTGTAGTCATGTTGGTAACAGTTAGTTTGTCATGAAGTTTTATACTCTTAAGAGTTGTGACTGTCCCCGCCAGATAGCATAACGACAGCAAAATATTTGTGGTCCGAAGTCGGACATCTACACTAACCAATGCAAGGAGAATCTTCTCAGCGTAGTAATGAAAATGTATGGCATGTTTAGAGTTAAAACTTTTGGTCACAAAAAAGTTCTCCCACCTGGAGCTTTCGACCAGTCACTATGGTCTTCCTCAGTAGACTGACCCAGCGAAGCTTGACACGTGGCTTCTTCGAAGTGTGACGTCAACACTGCATGGGTCAAAGGTATCTGGTAGACGATGTCGGGCCCCGTCGCGGTCGGAAGCTGTAGGTGAGAGAATTTTTTTGTGTTGGACCAAAAGTTTTAACTCTAAGCATGTAACTACCAACGCAGATGAACTTTCATGATAGAAAATGTATGCACTTCGCTGTATGACGCTTGATCGTCACAGTAAAAGTTGCATATATATCTAGGACGTGTTAGGACTGTCATGACACGGTGCTACAAAATAATGCTGCAGTTGATATGTATAATGTGCTGCAGTTTTGTCAAGCACCAGGTAGTTGTGATATACGTTAGTGTTAGTATAGCTACTGATGCAAACTTTTCCAGAAAGACATCTGGCTATTTTGTCTATCTTAGTACTGGTGAGATGGACCTGTATCAGGTTTCGTAGAGGAGTACTGTACTAGTAATGTACAAAATAATTGTGGTGCTGGAGAGATTGTGTATATGAGAGATTACATAAATGCATTGTTGTTCACAAAACCTCAGGGGAGACCATAGACATATTGTAACTGTGGATCAACCAACCATCCATAACGCATGTGCTGACGACAATGGTGATGTTGTATCCTGCGGTAGAATAATCATTGAAAGTAGCGGAAGAGTTTGCACTTCCAAAGTGGCGAAGTGTACTCAGAAATCAGAGCGTGTATTTGTATTAAAAGGGCAATGTGCAAAACTCTCACTGACTGTAACATTGCATATAATATCTCTGGTCGCAGCTTATTGTTGTATTTCCTGTCGTTGCTCAAATCCAGTATTGGCGGTATGCGACATTTAGTTCTTTTACAACCAATGCCAGATTCTAAATACCCGCATTCAAGCGGTCCATTATTGCAACGATCTCACGTGGAAACTTTCGAATCGTCTGACTGTCCTGTCCTCCCCTCTTATGCTGAGGCAGTCTTATGGAACGGAAAGTATTATATAATAAAGAACAACAAAGCACAAAAGCGTCGAAAAATTAATAATGGGAACTATCTGCGTATATTATTGATATAAATTGTTGATTTTTCGTTAATTGAAACAGCCCGGCCGGGCCCCGGTTAGGAAATGTGACCGCGCCTTTACTGCTAGGCACCCTCAGTCGCACATACAAGGCACATGTGCGTTGACTTGCATTGACATACAGCAGTGTGCACGTGGTTTAATTTTTCAGACCTCATTTCAGCCCTGCTGACCCAGATGGTGTATAGTTGCGACTCGGTGACCCATGGTGACCTCAATGTTTGTGTAGTAAGGTAAGGTAGACCTTGATTTTTTTCGGCTTTCTAAAAATAAATTCCTTTCCAAGAACACGCAGACAGTTTTCAAAGTTTGTTGATTTTTCCACTTGATATTTTGTGTCACCAGAACATATTTGTACACGTGTTACTTTTTTCCACTTTGTAAAAGTACAAGCGCGCTTATCTACACCCTCCCATCAGAAATGTAACATAATATAGAATGTTGCTAACAGCCATTGTTCTGAGCTTCTTGGTGACCCCGCGTACTGTCAACATTGAAACAATCGGTCGGTACAAAAGAAATGGATAGTTTTCATCCTAAGTACCCCCACGGTAGCTGGTGCGCGGCAGCCGTTGCAAAATGTCGTCTGAAGACACGCCAGTCACCCTGAACGTCGGGGGTTTCATCTATACCACCCTGCGGTCGACGCTGACTCGCTACCCCGACTCCGCCCTGAGCGCCATGTTCAGCCCTACCCCCACTCTCATGACCGACGAGCACGGGCGCTGCTTCATCGACCGAGACGGCAAGCTCTTCCGCTACGTGCTCAACTTCCTGAGAACCTCCGAGCTACTTCTTCCGAGGAACTTTGAAGAGCTCAGCCAGCTGAGGAAGGAGGCCGAGTTCTACAACATCCCGCCTCTGACGGAAGCTTTGAGTCAATACCAGTTCGGACAGTTCGCCACAGTGCACATGATGATGTCCACCAGCTCTACCGTGCACAGCGCTTGTTTTAGGTTCCTGGCGAGCGACAACGTCACCAGAGAACGCGTCAAGGCGTCCCTCCAGAAAGCCATCGCCAAGTACTTCGAACTAGAGCCTGACCATGACTTTGAACTTCCCGAGGAGGTGTACACCACCCCGGACGGGTTGGCGTTGGATGTCGGAGCGACGGGGAAACAGTCGCTGAACGAGGCGCACATCCTGGAGGCGCTGGTCAGAGCCGGGTTCACGGTGCAGGGCAGCAGCCACCACTGCTGTCAACAGAACTGTTGTGAATACACGTGGACATTGGTGTGTCAGTCAGGCGGCGTGGCGGATCCCGTTTTCTTTACACAGATATGAACACGTCATGTTTAGGGGACGCGGGGAAGAGCGACACTTGACACCGGTGGGTTTAGATGACGCCATGAAACGTCGATTAAAATGGAGGACACCAGTGAAGAGAACTGGGTATAAGTCAACAGAGATGGCTTCAGCTCTTGCAATCTTTACTACATGTATATGTTTATAACATACAACAAGTTTGGAGTTTGCTATATGCAGGTGTGTACATTTTGTAGCGTTAGGTGCGGAGTTAGTAGTCATCACGGTTGTATATAAAACAAGATTTGTTTGATGTTGCTTCCGGAAGCTCTACCTTCTAGGACCATTTACGTATTAATGTCCAATGTTTGTAAATTAAGCAAAGTGTTAGCAAACGATCCATCTTTGTGTAATGGCCAGTCGATTTAATTCTGTGGTGTTTGCATTGAGAAACATTTGCAAGCTTAATCATGGAAACTATGGATAATTGTTACATGTAGGGGACATCACAATAACGAACCGTCACCGTGATACGTCGCATGACAGACACAATGTAGGGACATTCGTAGGGCAGCCCTGAATGTGTCGCACATATATACGAATCGTGGCACGAATATAAGCTGTCCTGTCTCAGAATATGTTATTGTTGATCCTTGGCGACCGTCTGTTCTTGCATAGCCTGTCTGAAAGTCGTCGGGGAAAACTGAAATCGTAGGAGTATGTGCTGCAGTTTAGGCGGGGGTCGCATGGCGGGGAACTCAATGTACACGTCTAGAAATGGTAGAGTTCCCTGTAAAGAGTAAATGTACTGTACTGCCTCCTATTGCTGCGTAGTATCATTCATTTTGATTACAAAATAGCATCTGTTTGATGTAACGCTAGCTTTTGTATCTATACTCCCACTGCATGCATTATCACGCGCCCACTGGCAGCGTTGAAACATGTGTACAACAGAGAATGTACGTGTATTATGGCGAACTTACATATGGAGATTCGTGTTTGTAATCAACCGTATTATACCAGATTTTAATTGATTTTGGAAACGCCTGACAAAAAAAAATACGACTAATTACACAATAAAGACGGGTGAAATACTTCAAATAGTGTTTTACCATCGCCGAAACAACCCTTGACCTTTGAAACAGTGACGTATAGAAACTGAAGGGACGTGACTCTGGGAATCCACCAGTAAGGATGGTCTCACACAGGCGTTTCAAGTAGGGATTCGTTATTTACAGCAAGTGCACGTTAGTCCTATCTGTCAATCAATATCATACTTGTTATCTAAAATCACCTCAAGATTCATCATCGAAGTCAAAATCTGTTTGAGGCATTTTTAGTTTGTTTCATATTCCTTACTTAGAATGACATACTTAGTATGACATCGATGAACACCCCAAACTACTGAATGGTTGAGTCCATCTCGGGTATTCCCAACGACTTGTGGTGATGAGTCACCAGTCTGTTCTAGACTTGTCTGTACATGCAACATTATATATGTGGTGTTGTTCAACAGTTGTAACGTGTAGTAGTTCAAATATCGTGGGCGGCCAAACTCCAAAATAATAATGGCGTCTGCGACACTAGAAGAGTCGCTGTCCTGTGGGATCTGTCTGCAGCCTTTCACACGGCCAAAAATCCTGCCGTGCGGCCATACCTTCTGCGAAGAGTGTCTCCGAGAGGCAACAAGAGGGGGTCTTAGCTGTCCAACCTGCCGCGCCCGTGTGCCACTAAAGGGCGGCGTCGAGGCACTGCCGACCAACTACCAAGTCGCGGAAATGTGCCAGAAGTTCTCCGAGCTAGCAGCTGCCCGGGCGCGGGACGACACGCCACAATGGGACGCCGCTTGCCAGAATCACAAGGCAGAGAAGCTCCGGCTCTTCTGCCAGACCTGCCGGGTACCCGTCTGCAGCCTGTGCCTGGACGACAGCAGTCACCGGGGCCACAAGAACGTCATCACGGTCAGACAGGCCGTCGAGAAGAAGATGACGACCGTCACCCCCTTGCTGAAGGAGAAGAAGCGGCAGATAGAAGAACGCCGCGAGTACCTTGAGAAGCTCAGCCACCTCGAGGAGCAAGTCAACGAAAACAAGGGTCAAAGTGAACAGGCTATCACTGACTCGTACGAAGAAAAGGCGCGACTGCTTTCCGAAAGCAAGGACGAACGTCTCGCCAGCGTTCGGGAGGCATACGATCTCAACATGGAGGCCATCAACGTACGCAAAGGCGAGGTGCAGCAGCAGTTACAAGAGATAAACAAAGTCTACCAGGAGGTCGAGCAGGCTATAGAGAACGCTGGGGTCGCGTTTCTCGGAGATGAACCGGCAGAGCTGCGCTGGAAGCTGGAGCAGATCTGTGTCGACCCCCTGCCTGGTCCTCTGAAGGTCAAGGCCACCGTGTTCCATCCAGACGAGCCCAGGAAGGGGCTGCTGACCATCGGAAGCTTGGGGTCAAGGGACTTTTCCATGGATACTCAGTGGAAGACTGTTCTGTACAAGTTCCTGTCATCAGTTGGGAACGTGTTAGCCTATGTAACCCAAACTCCGGGGGGCTCCCTACATAGTCCGCCACCCAAGATGTGGGCCGGCTGGATGTTGGGCGGCCGGCAAAAGCGATTTAATCAGGCTAGGAACGTGTGTGCCTATGGAACAAACAAAGAAGACGACGAAGAGACCACAGTCCCTCTCATGGGGACCGAAACGCCCCAGTGATTGTCTCTCGTCTTCAGAATGGTTGAGACTACTTGATTAATGTTGATTTAATATATAATAGCCTAGTATTGCACTAAGCTATGGTGAGGTAACTAGTTATGCCACTTCTGCAATAGTTCTGCAAATGTTTCTTTAATTTGTATTGAGAATTATGAAGATGAAACTCCATCAGTTTGAGGAAGTTTTAACAATGTTTACTTCTTGATTAATGTTGATACAAATATATAATAGCCTAGCTATATAGTATTGCACTTAGCTATGGTGAGATAACTAGTTATGCCTCTTCTGCAATGATTCTGCAAATGTTTCTTCAATTTGCACTGAGAAGTATGCAGATGAAACTTCATTAGTATGAGAAAGTTTTAACAATGTTTACCTCTTGATTAATGTTGATACAAATATATAATAGCCTAGCTATATAGTATTGCACTAAGCTATGGTGAGGTAACTAGTTATGCCTCTTCTGCAATAGTTCTGCAAATGTTTCTTCAATTTGTATTGACAAGTATGCAGATGAAACATTATCAGTAGGAAAAAGTTTAATTTAACAATGTTCACCTGTTCATATTTTCTTCATGATATTATATCGTTAATCGATGTTTTCGCAACATAAAGCAATGTGAAACGGTTATCACTCAGACTTCCAGAGTCTTTTATTCACTCAAACCTGTATAAACCTTACCGGGTTCTTTTGGTTGACACTAGTTACACATGAACTTAAAAATAAGCTTACATGATTCAATGTGCCAATTATTCAGTAGAGTATACATATATATTACAGAGGTGTCGATAATATTAATGAGTTCTGAAGATAAGGAGTACGAGATCTAGAATATAGTAATAGTGGCACAAATCTTAAGACGATGGCACAAGGAGAGAACCAGACGACTTGCAACTGCTACATACCGTCATACGTATTTCACCAGGTGCGACCGTGCGGCCGTTTACCCCGAAACTGTGACGTGTTGAAACCACAATGTACGAACATCACCCTGGGAAAACACCCGATGCGCTGTCAGATGTTTCTCAGCCCGGTGTTCCAAACCAGTGGTGGTTCAGTGATAGGATATTCAGATTCAGATACAAAATTCAGATACGAAATTTCCTCATAACCAGCCTTCGTATCTACATCCATATTATATAGTTGTTGATATCGCTCATTTTCTGACGAAATTTGGTTGGTTAGTGTTGTATGTCGTAGCTGGGTATAATATTGTGGTACAGTCTTGACTAGGAAACTCCCGTGTGAGATATTATTGTGAGCTGCCATTGGGACTTTCCAATTTCCGGTTTCGTCTAGTTTCCATACGTCACCTGAAGCAGTTTCTGGTTTCGTGTATGTAAGTAACGGGCCATTCTCTCGAATCCTCATTCATTTTGCCCCCAGGAATCGAACAACTCGCATCTGTAGATTTAGAAGCGAAATGGCATCCGTGACAGAGCGTAGTTTTAAACAGAAGATTCTGGAAGAAGATCTGTGCTGTGGGATCTGCCAGGAAACCTTCCGGAAACCCAAAGCACTACCCTGCCTGCATACGTTCTGTCAGGAGTGCCTCACAGAGACCGCTAATCTTGGCGAGCTTTGCTGCCCTCTCTGCCGCCGTGAGGTGCCGTTGGCCTCAGACGGCGTCGCAGGCCTGCCGGATAATTTCCATCTTTCTGAGCTGTGTAAGAAATTCTCCGAGCTACCGGCTGACCCGGAAGAAGACGCCGCCGCTCAGCACTGTGAGTACCACCCTACCAGGGAAATTCGGCTCTTCTGTACGAGTTCAAAGTGCGGCGTGCCCATCTGTGTACAGTGCTTTGAGGACTCTCATGGCGAACACAAGGTTATACCAGTAAAGCAGGCAGTCGAGAAGAGAATGACGAGGGTCAATCCTCTGCTGAAGGAGAAGAAGAGACAGATAGAAGAACGTCGCGAGTACCTGAAGGAAATCCGACGCCTTGAAGACCAGATCACCGACGGCAAGCGCAAAAGCGAGGAGAACATTCTGGAGTCGTACACGGAGAGGGCGAAGCTTCTCGCCGAAGACAAGGACAGGCTTCTCGACGACGTTCAGCAAAGCTACCAAGACATCATGAAGGACGTCAACGCTACGAAAGAAGCCGTGCTCCAGCAGCTGAAAGACCTGACCGACGTCGTTGAAGAAGTCGAGCAGACCAAAGAAAGACAAGCTATCAAGTTCCTCCGCCATGAGCCAGACGAACTGCGGGAGAAGCTGGAACAAGCTACAGTAGACCCCGTGTGGGCTCCGCTGGAAGTCACGGCCACCCTCTGTCGTCCGCGCAAAATCAGGAAGGAGCATCTGACAAACGGGGAGTTGGTGTCAGAAGTCTTCAGCGCGAAAACTCGCTGGCAGACTGTCGTCACGCTTCTGTCTCACGTGAAACTGAGAGCGTACACGGCGATGGAAACTGCATTCAACGACTTGAAGTCAATGAAACCATGACTCTTCTTGAGTAAGCGATCGAGAACTGTGGTTATCTTTTATTGAACCAAGCTATGTATTCAACATTTTTCGTCCCAAAGTATAATGTCCTTGGTCGTCCAAAGATTTCAAAGTGAGACCCCGACGTAAGTGAATATAAAAGTCGTCGTGGAGTAAGGCTATCTGCACCAATACCGATGCCAAAGGTTAGCGTTATTACCAAGTTGACAAAATATCCTTTTCTTCTCAGACAATCATATATGCATTCATGGTTTTCTCTATCGTATGAATGGTATTGAGGGATCATAATTGTGTCAATCGTAAGCTCGTACATATAACGGTAGTCAAATATTCTCACCATTTCATTTTATTTTATGTAACCAGAGACTTTTTGAAAAGACTTTAGTTGTCTTCCTATGTCTAGCTGCTAATGTTGTGTGTTCCTAAGGGATTAAATGTAACAATAGATCATTTTTCTAGACGTATAAACAGCTCTTTTATCATTGCTGTTCGTAGCCTATTAATGTTACACTGCATTACAAATCCTACAGTGAGCCATTTGGCAGAATGACCACAAGCTAGTATTCACACAAGAGAAAGGCAAAATGTAAACAAGATTGGTAACAAAATGTACATAATAAACCATATACGAGTACATATATAACGAATACTGGTATTTGTCGTATTTCCGGATTTTGACTAGTTAAACAGGAAACATCCACTCCGAACATTACTCAAAGGAAGGCCTATTACTATCTAAATTTTCATGAATGTTCTGAGGCTATTATAAAGAAGCTAAAAGTCGCCAGGAAAACATCAGTGGATGGTTCTAGATCTCAAATCTGTTCTGGATCTGGACATTTTTGATGGAGATGTGGGTGTGGGTGTCTTCTTCACTTCTGAGGGTGACTCAGGGCTGTCCACTATCTCCGGGATGAGCTCGGTCACGTGAGCCAGGGCGAGCTCTTCTGATTGGCTGTCGGTCTTACCCAATAGCCTGTCGGGAAGACTCTGTAACAAGCAAGAAACAAATCACTGAATAAGCATAAAGTAGTAAAATAATGTCAAGATGTGACCATATGCCATATTGGGAGGTTAATAGTAATTGATCATGAATACTGTAACAGGTCTGACCCGTCCATAATTGATTGATCGCGGTTTTTGTTTACACCATATATATTCAAATTATTTGAAGACATATGCAAATTATTGGTAGGCAAATCAGCCAACCGTTACCCACTTTTGCCTACCATGACGTCATGGCGATCGCTCGTCGTTACCTATGACATTAGTGCTTAGTAGCCATATTTAAATCTTTACCCTTAGCTCATTTACATGCTCATTAGATTAGCATTTGACTGGTGAGAGCAGTCAGCGTCAGGTTGGTCACACACACTCTGTATTAGCTCTGTTATAGACTGTATATAGTTCCATTTGTACGAGACCATTCTGTTGTAGTAGATCCTTAAGTCTATGATTGACCTTGTATATGTATAGCAGTTCACAATACAACAACCCGTACAATCGAAATCGATCAGGCTCAGTGTCTTATATCTTTAGTGGTAAATGATAACTTAAACTAGCACGGATAAGATAAACACGAAAGTTAGCTTGGCCTAACACCACAAAACTTACCGTGGTCCCTAAAAAGTTACACTAGACCAAATTGTTACAATACTAATCATCATGCTATCTCTATGCTGTCACAACATGTAGATCTAGTCGTGTCGAATCATTTCATAATTTTGCATTTAAATAGACGTCATGAGTGTTGGGAGCTAGAGGTCAAGTGCGACAGACAGCTGCAGGGCTGTGAAGAATTTGCTGGTCCAAGGTAAGGGAAAGGCGAGAATATTACGAGCACAATTGCCATGCAATCACAGAGCATTGTTGGGGCAAACTGATACGTTTATGTGATTTCTGCCAGGCGAAAACGTATAATGTGCTTACCGCTACTATCTCCACTGGCCGCAGTGCCTGGTCCCGCACGTAGGTCACAACTGTTGTGGGAAATGGAATGTTAGCGTTATAAACTAAGGTTATACACCGTGCAATCAAGTCTGGCATCAGAAGCAACGCTGCATGGAACCCATACATGCTAGCGTGCGGTGGCGCATCACCTAAATGTTAGCATTCCGCATGTGTACAGTACAATGTACCAAGCGCTGTGCGTTCGAAGCTCGGACAGGGGGAGTAGTCTATGTCCTTTGCTTAAAGCAAAGAGCACACCTGTACGTGTTTGGGTGCGTCCTGGGGTTGTGAAATCTACCAGTTCTTGAATATAGCCTATCATTACCTTCGCCAAGAATTGACGAAGGTTATGTTTTCCTGGCCGTTTGTCTGTCTGTCTGTCTGTCTGTGTGTCTGTCAACAGCATAACTCGAGAAAGCTTAAATGGATTATCTTGATATTTAGTAGGTGGGTAGGTCTTGATGAGAGCTCGAAATGATTTGATTTTGGGCCCCCTGGCGGCTTATTATGGTACTGCAGCTGAACTTCCGGTTTTGCATGTCCGTGAGGCAAAACAATAACATTTTCTGAGATAATATAGCCAATACATACGTGGAAGATGAATTATTTCTAAACCAGAAAACCTACCTGACGTTTGCTGTAAGGTGTACACCGCACCGATGTCTTGTGGGAGATCTCCCCACGTCTCCTCCGAGTAGTAGACAGGCAGGGACGGCCGCAGCTTTAGCACACCGCTGCTGTTGTCTTCCCTCACCAAAATAAGACGTCTAGAGAGCGAGGCGAGAGAAAGAACGAGATGATAGTGGCCTAGCACTTCTCGAAATAATGTCCATTCGTTTTATGCCCACCAAACTTTTAAAAGTTTCCTATCGAGGATAGCATTAGGACGGAGAGTCTATCCATTTACACAGAGAATCTATCTAATCAACTTCATCAAGTACATTAGGTTTCGGTTGGAGTCAGGCAAATATTTTTGGAACAGCTCGCTGATTCGCCACATGTCTCTTACGTTCTACACTCTACAAAAATATAGGTTTACTTTTGATGTATGAATCCAGGATAGTGTCTCTACTAAAAACTAAAAACGACAGGGAAATGTTCTACATTCGCTGAAAGCAACTGTCCCCTTTCAACTTTCCTACATACTACTAGTATTTAAAGGCATACAATGCGATTTCAATGCAGCAACATTGGAAATATTTTTGCAATCTTTGTGATATTGACACATACTGCTTTCCATTGGCACATTTGAGTCAGCATTTCATACTTTGCGGGCTTTTAAAACTGCAGAAACAAGCCCAACCATGAGTCCTTTATTTTCTGGGTGGTATCCTAAAAATCAGGGCCCTTCCAGTGACCATTTTCCCTCAGAATTTTGGGAATTTTTGCTCCATGAGGGTCAATATACATTGGGATACTGTGGTTTCAACTCAGTATGTAGATAAATAACTAAAATATTGCCACTGAAAAATCGGGTTTCTAAGCCCCAAAAAATGCACTGGATGACTAACCTGCCGGATAGGACGCCGAGACAGAAGATGTCCTGGAGGCTCTTGCGGAGGTTTCGCGGGCTGGTGTAGGCGACCGTGACCGTGTCCTTCAACCCCAGCAGCCAACCAACGTACGAAGGGTAGTGGGACACCGTCACCATGGAAACCTGGAGGATATGACGTCATGTTTTTTTTTATACCTAGGTTGATATTAAACGGTTCTGCTGAGCAAACTTGCCCAAACCTGTCATGTCGGATATCTATTGTGATTCTCAGAGGCAATTTACAATAATACATGTAACGTTATGACAAAATTTGACATCATAATTGTGCCATCTTTGAAAGGTTTCGTCGTATGTGTGCATTTTCACTTATCGCAATGGTACATGGGATAGGGACAAAGGCCATTTGTCTTGCTTTGTTGTGAGTTTGCTTTGCTTTTAGCCCGAGTGTATACACAAAAGTTATTGCATAAGCAGCTCCTACAGTTAATACTTCATTACGTAAGATAGGTTTGCTACACATGGACACATTTTGATAAACACAAAAAGCACAGCATCAAAACGCCTGTACACTTGTAACTGTTATATATTACATGAGGAGAATACTTCTCTAGATCACCGCAGATTCTCACAATGGTGTAAGGGGGTGAATTACACGCACTATGGTAAGAGTGTGCGTGTGCACACCAACAAACAAGAAACAGACAGACAGACAGACAGACTAGCTCTCCCGACCGACATTTTGGAATGTAAAGTTAGCATGGTGCCACAACTGCACCCTCTGTGCAGAGAATAAACACGTTGCTAGACGCATGACCCACTATTATATCCCAGAACCGTGCATTATCCAGAACCATGCTCAGACACTGTTGTGGATAGTCCACACGTATCCAGAACCGTGCCCCTGGCAAACCTGCGTTCTTGGATCCGCGGAGACCGTACAGAAACGCCGCCTGATCTTAACCCTAACCCATTCAGACATAAAATAGATAGGCACGGTTCTGGATACAATGTACCCACCTTGCGCTCGTGTTCGCTCCTCTGTCCGCCAGCCAGTGGGTTGTCCTTGGTGATGGTGATGGTCGTGGTGCTGGTTTTCCCGCTCGCTTTCTTACCTGTGGGGCTGGGGAGGTTCAGGGCCTGGAGCGACCTGGGCCGGCGGAGGGTCCCGCTCATGGCGCCGTTCATACAGGACTCGCAGTGATCGGAGTAGCGACGTGCGCGGCAATCAATACACAAATTTTTACCCTAGCTGTGCAGGTACGCCTTTTGTGCGGTCGATAGAGTGTGTTTGCTTAGCTCAGTCCATTTACACACAATACCGTCCTGTGTATCTAATTACATAATCTCAAGAGATAACCGTGTTTTTTCCTAATTCTTTTTCAGTAGGAAGCTAGGTGAGGCAACTGTGCTGTTTTCTTGTTAAAACTACCCTTTTTCTTTTGCGTATGACTGGTTTAGAATGCTGATGACATAAAAGTTCCTCCTGAAGCCCGCCTAGACGGCAGTGTTAAACATTAATGTTGTTATCAACTTTTGCCGGTGTTACACTAGGTCAACGGCCCCATTCGTCTGTTTAATACATCCTCAATGATGGGAATGTATAAAAGCTTTCGACTACTTCTAAACGGTCATAAGCGCAATCTGTTCAAATTGTACGTGGCCTCGGTTTAGTTCTGTTGTAATACAATACTAGGATCCCTCATTTCCTAATTAGCATAGCGAGGTATTTGATATCCATGTCGCATGTAATGGAACACCAGTGCACGTGATCTCATTTCCCTATTTCCCCGCATCACGCATTGTTCACGTGATGCAAAAAACGGAAATTCTGCTGAAGTACCGGGGAAAGCCGCGAGGGGATTCATAACCTACTAGTAATCATTTCCTTGATTGCTCAAGACCTAACTGTACACAACTTTTATAGCAACGCATTCTTGAGTTAGAATGATGCTTCACATGTTTAAGTACTTGTCACGGAGATCGCGTGTTGTTGCTACTTTAAAATCTTTGTTATTGTTAGTAGAACTTGTATTTGAAAAGAAACTGTCTGAAACCGACTGCAGAGAAGCCACTTTTTATATGAACAACAACAAAAAAACGAACCTGTAATTGATGGTGGTACTTGTGATAACCTACTAGCTAGCGTAAAAGAAGCTAGTCTGTGTAACGCAAACTCTGCCGTCCGCGGCTTTAGTGACCCCTCCCCGCAGAACTTTTCGGGGGGAAGCTGGATCTTGGATGGCCGGCAACCGTAAAGCGATTTAATCAGGCTAAAAAGAAGCCAACACACTTATCTAGAAGGGTAGGGGTGACCGACCCGGCGTGCTTGCCGTACATAAGTCGCAATGCACCTAAGAACATGTATAGTGTCTTCTTCACCTCAGTTGAGAATGACAAAAGAAGATGGAGTAAGTCTGCCAAGTAAGTACAAGCCATAGATACCACAGTAGGCCGGCTGATATACTAATGTATTACTGATGCTACTGGTTAGGGGGTTGACTCACGTCGCCTCTATGATCTCAGCAAATCCTGTTTGAGCAGTGTCATGAGCTGGAATCTCCGGCGGCCGAGATCCCTCCAGTCCATGCCCGGACTCAGCCCTCCCCGGACCGACGGGTAAGAAGGGCGGTGGAACCCCCAGTACCACGACAATCAACGTAACTAAGGACAGCACTGTTAACGAACCGAGGAGCAAACAGGAGCGAAAAAATGTGGCTGGACTCATTCCATGCGAAAGTCCGCATGATAACAGCATAGGTTTTCCCCTAGAATCTGAATCAGCACCAAGGACAGAGAAGTACGTTGCGTTAACGTTACTAGGAAACAAAAGAGGACGTTTATTGTTTGTTTATTTATTCTTTTGCACTCACAAAATAAAATGAAATATAACAATTAAAAGTTCAAGTAGACATGCATGGGAGGCCAGAACCCTGGTGGTTTATATCTTTGGCCCTCCCAATACTACAAGATTAAAAGATAAGTTACCATCATTACTAAAAGTAATGCGTATTCAAGATAAAAAGCTGTACACGTAAACTCACCACAAACTTATCTAGCATGAAAGACGCTATGAAACTAACACCTAGTTTACAAGATACAGATAAAACTTATTCCTATGTATAATTGCCTAGAGGCTGTTTCTTGCTGGACTTGCAAGCACGGCCGAACATTCTACATTTTACAGTAGTAAGAAAACGTGATCTCCATGTTAAATTTTTCAATCTTCTTCTATAAGATATACATCTTATATACATCATTAGCTGTTGTGTTACGCCGAAAGGCGGTTATACCGGCTATACAGATACAGATACAGATCTTTAAGGTTACCGACGGTCAAAGTTTTATCCTCCAGAATATATTTTGATTTCTAGACTGAAACAGGTTGCCCTAATACCATGTAAAATTAGAGTAAAAATTCTTATTGTCATTCTGTCGATGTCTTTGCTGTACTTGCACAAATAACATCATTTTGGGACAACTTTAGTCTTCCAGATGTAAACATCGCTTACATTGACGTTCATGGTATGCAAACTTGCTTCGGGGTGTTGCAAGTGGCCCTTAGATTTCAAGTAGAACAATACATGCATGGGAGTGCAACATAATTACACGGGTAGGGCCTGCCACACCGAATTCTTGGCCATTCTCAGCTCAGCTTGCCCTGGTGTAGATTGGGGCTTTCTGTTGGGAAGACCGTGTTGTCTATTGTAGACAAACTGACCATATCGTTTGTCGGTGTTGACGGTAGAATAGGAAAAATGAGTGCAGAGAAGGTGTTCTACGGTCCCATCGAGCCGGAGAGGCCGTCCCGCCGTGAGCGGGCGGCCAGTTCCCGGGTGTTCCTGGCGGGCGTGTTCGGGGTGGTCGCGGTCCTCACCGCCGCCGTGGTGCTGGCGATGGTCCTGAACGACATCAGCCAGCAGATGGCACGGGATCACGAGGAGATCATGGTCCTCAAGGCGAGCGCCCAGCGAGATCACGAAGAGATCGCGATCCTCAAGGCGAGCGCCGAGCGAGATCACGAGGAGATCGCGGATCTCAAGGTGACCGCCGAGAAGAGCCGACTGCAGAACGCGTTTCTGATGGAAAGGGTCGCCGTGCTAGAGTCACAACTACCAGCAAGTCGTGATGAACACCAAATGCCTGATGTGAGTAGTCAGTGAATGTCATGGAGAAACTTTGTGTAACCAATCAAACAGTAGCTAGCTATAACGTTATATCTGTTACGTTTTAGATTTCTTTGTCGGTCTTCGTGTACACTGCAATTGCCACTAGACGATAGTGTTACAATTGTTTGCACTGTTTAAAGATTCTCAGTGCAAATATATATATAAGTCTCTGTTTTCTTGATTTTGTTTGAGACCCCGCATGACTCTATGACTATACCCTGGATGCCAAACTAGTATCGGGCCGTTAGCCGTTTTCCTTCGGCAGCCGAGAGCCCTTCGCCCTCCCGCTACGGGGGAGTTGAGCCCGAGGGGAGTTGGCTGGCCCTTTACTCGTTTGTCCGGCCAGCCAAACTCCCTCCGGTCTAGACTCCACCGTAGCGGTAATTTACACCAGCGGGCGAAGGGCTCTTGCGGCCCGGAAAACGAGTTTGGATTCCAGGATACTATGACTGACTGTCTGTGGTATGTGTCCATCCCAGACCGGTTCTGAGCAAAGCCTGGAGGCGGGAGACTCGGCGGGCGACGCCGTCGCTGCCAACGCCAAAGTGCCCAGCAACAACGGCACTTTCGGGGTCGAAAACAAGCGTTCAAGGAGGTCGGTGACCGACTGGGACGAGCTTCTGGCTGAACTTTCAGGTAACGATATTTTCTTTTGTTATCCCATCCATTCATTTGATCGGATATAAGAAATCTACGGTTTGGTGTATAAGTTGCACCATACATGAATAAAATCTGTGTTCTGTCTCATTTGTCCAGCCTTGCAAGATGGACTTGACGACGCCCGTGGATTCGAGACACGGGGGACGGGCAACTGGTAAGTAAACTCTGGTGTCCATGTGAGTTCCATTAGCGCCCCTAAAGCCCTCTAGTTGCTGACTAACTACCGCTGGGCATGTTGATTCCTTTTTGGCGACGTCTCAGGGAGGATCTTAATGGTACATACGGTATTGTGTGCAGTTCGCAAGAATTCTAGGAATTGTACAGACAGTTTGTCTACGGGCATGGAATGTCCACAGGAATGTCTCCCAGCTCTGTTTGTTGACATACCTGGAAACCCTTGGGAGAACCTGTCTGCCGGATGCCCTACATGTACTTTCTGTGACGCCGGGGCTCGTTCACTACACACTCAGGGGAGGGTAGGGTACCAAGGCTTCCTCAAAATCATGAACTCATGGCAGCGCCATGCAAACAATAACCCTAACAGCAACCACCGTCACCATGGCAATGTATGTTTTCATTGCGCCAGTCTTGTGTATACTAGAAGTGTCTGCAAAGAGACTTAGAAAGTTTTTCGTGCGGTAAACATCGCTCCTACGTCATGGCAAGGAGGTTATAAGCTGCTGTAAAACCTCCTTGGTCATGGTAATGTAAACTTGCTTGGGGGTGTTGCAAGTGGGCTTAAGGGATCAGGTGGAACAATACACACTTGGCAGCTCCCACCGTAATTACATGGGCAGGGTCTGCCACACCGACGTTCCGACCATTTTTGTCCACCGTCAAGCCGTTTCCCAAGGCTACGAAATCACCAGTTCTACTTGTTTTTATGTTTGACTGACTGACTGACTTAATCCTCTTGGCCCGCACGGGAGCATAGGGCCTCTGTGAGAAGTCTCCATCTCTTCCTGTTCTTCGCTATCTTCTTGGCCTCCTGCCAGGTTGTGTTGGCCTTCTCTAGGTCTTTCCTCACGCCTCTTCTCCAGGAGAGGCGGGGTCTGCCTCTCTGGCATTTCCCCTGGGGGTTCCAGTCTAGCGCTATTCGTGTTATTGACGTTGACGGCTTCCGCAATGTATGGCCAATCCAACGCCATTTTCTTCTCCTGGTGATCTCGATGGGCTCTTGGCCTGTTATCTCTAATAGTTCTTGGTTCCTGATCTTTCTGGGCCACCAGATCCCCAACAGGTAGCGTAGTCTGGCATTTACAAACACCTGTAATTTGTTCATGTTGTGTTTCGTTAGCCCCCACTGTGTCACATCCATACAGCAGGACAGATTTTACGTTGGACTCGAACAGTCTGAGCTTGGTTTTCAGGGAAAAGCTTTTGGATCTCCAGACTGGCTTTAGTTGGGCAAATGCAGCTCTGGCCTTTCCAATACGGGCATCCACATCTTTGCTGGATCCTCCATCATCAGTGATGACACTCCCAAGGTATGTGAATTCCCTTACTGTTTCTAGGTCCTCTCCCCTACAGCATACGGGTTTAGCATTCCCAGTAGTTTTGACTCGCATTTCCTTGGTTTTCCCCGCATTTACTCCAAGTCCCACTGTGCTGGAGTTCTGCTCCAGTTTCTTTGTCTTGTCCCTCATCTGGTGAATGCTGTAGCTGAGGAGGACAAGGTCATCAGCAAAATCAAGATCGTCCATCATGTCCAATAGAGTCCACTGTATCCCTGTCTTTCCCTCTCTTGTAGTTTCCCCCATGATCCAGTCAAGTGCAGTTATAAAGAGTAGCGGGCTCAAAAGGCACCCCTGTCTCACTCCTGTAGTCATATTGAAAGGCGCTGTTAAGTCTCCTTCATGTAACACTTGTGCTTGGAAGTTGGCATAGAAAACCTTGACCATGTTGATGATCTTTCCTCGGATTCCGTAGTGGGCAAGGATTTTCCATAGTGTGGTCCTACCAACAGAGTCAAATGCTTTTTCATAGTCAATGAAAACAGCATAAAGTTGTGAGTTAAACTCAATGGACTGCTCCACTATTATCCTCAGTGTTGCGATCTGATCACTGTACGACCTGTTTTAGTTTTTGCTAAGTACTAGTTTCTTTCTCCTCCCTCCTCTTCTTCTTCTGTTCCAAACACTAACCTCTGACCTGGCCAATGACATGATTTGTTGACGTCTGTCACCATGGTGACTGGTGTTGGGTTACATATTGTTGCAATTTCATGGTCTGCTCTGCTCCTGTCACCATATACTAGTAGTACAGTCATGTACATGTATGTGAATGTGTTTGAGTAAGAATTAACAGAGCAGACCATGTCCAAAGGTAAACATTATGCATTTGCTTTGCAAATGTAACTTTTCTAGTCTGTGTTTTTTTGCAGGAGGAGCCGTTTACATTCGATGGGGAAGGAAGGACTGTGCTAATGGAAGACTGATCTACGAAGGTAAAATTTGAATTTCTACCTTCTTGACAGTGACGTAAGCTAAAACAGTAAAGGGAACGAGAACTGAAACTAATAATTGGAAGAATTTCTAGAGTGCACATCAAATATACAGCTGCAGGATATCACCACTGCTTCTTTTGTGAAGCTGTTTGGAATCTTGCTTGGAATCTTTGCAACCTATACATAACAATCATACACAAAATGATACAAACAAATACAAATTGTCTTCGAGCCTGTCACTGACTCCTTACCCTGGATGCCAGAACTCGTTTTTCGGGCGGCAAGAGCCTTTCGCCTGCCGGTCTAAATTACCGCTACGGGGGAGTCTAGCCCGGGGGCAGTTTGGCCGCCCTCCAAATGAGGGCCGATATACTCCTCTGCGGGCGAAGTGCCCTAGCTGCCGAAAAAAAAACGGTTAGCGGCCTGTAAACTTGGCTGGCACCCAGGGTACTGACTCCTCGGCTTGGCTTTATGTGTCTTGTCTGCAGGGTTTGCAGCAGGCTCAAAGAGCGGAAGTGGCGGGAGCAGCTACGTATGTCTGCCGGAGGAACCTCAGTGGGGAAATTACAAAGATGGAACCCAGAGTTACTCGGCTTACATGTACGGCGGCGAGTACTACCTGTACTCCGAAGTCCCGTTCGGCTCCAAAACGCTTCACTACCATAACGTCCCGTGTGCCGTCTGCCATGCCCAGAACCAAGGTAGCAAGGTGATGATCCCCGGCCGTAACACCTGCTTCGGCGGCTGGCGTGAGGAGTACCACGGTTACCTCATGTCAAGTTACCGCTCTTCCAATGGGGGGCAATTTGTTTGTATGGATGAGCAACCCCAGGCGGCGTTCGGCGGCCATACCAGTCAGAACGGGGCGCTCTTCTACCCAGTGGAAGCCTACTGTGGGGCCCTGTTGTGTCCCCCCTACGTAAATGGGAGGGAGCTCACTTGTGCGGTCTGCACCAAGTGAAACCGAGCTCTGTCTCCCCAGCATTAATCTCCAATCCCTTTCGGTGGCAAGACAGCATCCATTAGCCAGAGGAGTTCACGGTAGGGCAATGGACACTCCTCTGGCCAATGGACACTGCCTTGCCACCATATGATCTGCTTGGAGATTACCCAGCATAAGTTTCACTTCAAATTTTCTTTCAACTAAGAATCCCCATGCCAGAACTATTTCAGACACCATTGACGAACGCTTCGAAAACATGTAACGCACCCTGCCAGAACCATTCGAAACAGGACACTTTCTACGAAGGCCTACAACGACACTTGCACACACCTCTTCCACATCCCTTCCACAGCGCGCTGCCAAGTGGAAGCAGCTCAGTCTCAGAACTTTTAAACAGTTTTTATTGAATTGGATTTAAGATTAGTTTTATCTATGTGCTATTTTTAGACTTTGTATGTATTGTGAATCTGTTTAACTGTTAGGTGTTTGTCTGTGCTTTTGTACCAGGATTTCCTGAAAAACAGGCCAGAGTGGCCTGAGTGTGATACCTGGTTGAACAAATAAAGTTGAAAGTTGAAAGGTTCGCGCTATGGAATCGCGCTATGGAAGGTATATCCGTGGCAGCGCGCTGTGGAAGGTCCGCGGAATCGCGCTATGGATGATATATAGCTGTGGAAGGGCTGTGGTAGAGGTGTGTGGAAGTGTCGTTGTGGGCCTTTCAAGCACCATGACAGAACTCTTTGAAACACCATGAACGCTTTGCTTCGAAACAGGACACTTCAAAAACACAAGGACAGAACTCCTTGAAACACCATGTCATAACGTTTTAAAATCACCAAATGATGCATTTACGAAACTACCTTCTGGACCTCCTTGTTTCCGTAATCTGAAAAAAAAAGCAAGAAAATTGTGTCAAAATGAGTGTGGCATGGTGGAATTCTCTGTTTTCTATTGCAGTGCATAACCTTCTTGATAACTGGTGCTAGCGAGTTTAGTATACATGTAGCCTAGATGTGTTTATAGCAGTTGGAGAAATTACTCCTAAAAGAATCGTTTACTAAAGAACTAGCGATGATATGTGTATAATTGGTGAGTTTTTAGATGCTCTAGTTTACTGTGCCCAAATTTATAGCTAAGCATACATGTTATTAATAACAGGCCAATGGTTTAGAGATTTTAAAAGTGAAAATCAGTTTAGAGTGCAGAATGATTCGTTTAAGGCTACTGGTGATGTTTCAATGCAGTTCACAGATTAGAGAAGTTAACACTATTTCACTGTAAGAGTGTGCATCAATGGCTTGGATATTCTTAAGTTTTATTGCTGTGCTCCGCAACATCAATGTGCCTTTGTTAAGGTGTTAAGGTCCAGCTGAATGTTTCTTTGGTGACTTCAAATAAAAAATACCTTTACGGTAGACATTTTGTTTGATCGTTGCTTCTTTTAAATAGATTCAAGTAGTTGGTCCTACACATGACTAAATATTATTACGTCCTATCTTCACTTTTTTCGTGTCTTAGAAATATTACTAGGAAGCCAACATTTGTGAGCAAATGTATTGTATTTCACTCCTCATCCATCGATATCCCTCCATGGAACCACCACGAAATGTTCACCCCGTACAATGATGGACTACTACTAGTATTTATGCAACAATTACGTTTGCAAAAATAAACTCTTTATAGTTACCCCCTCCCCCATTCTACAGGCAAAACCTTGCCTAACCAAATACCCGATGTCAGGTAATTTGGTGTTAGTATCATTACAGTTCAAATTTGAAAATATTTGTCATAAAAATAGCAAACGGGAAACGTCCAGAAGCATGGAATTCGGCAAAGGTGATGTGAACTAGGATTATAACCGAAATCTGTATGTGAACAACGTTTCCAGCGTTGATATTCAAGTAGAAGCTAAATCAGTACCAAGGACAGGGAGGTACATGGTACGTTACACAGCTGACACTCGTAGTTGTAGCGTCACAAGGGAACCAAGAAAAGTAGATCATGGGAACGGTTACGGTGGTTGACCAAAACGAAAACTGCCTCCATTTAAATTTCGACGCAAATTTACCACAAACTTACTGGTAATAAACAACTTACTTTATAAACACTATAAAAATCGATCATCTCGGTACCCATTTCACGAGGTGAGGATTGAAGATTGAAACAATTCCAGGACTAAGCCCTTTTCTCACTGGACGTAGGAGTAACATTACTGCCAGATGTCTTCATCTGTTCATGGTCGTTCTAGAATGACTGTGTCAAGTTTATCGAAGTTCGAACGGCCCGCGTCATCAATGAAGAACGTTCGAAAACGGTACAATCAACATCCGGGCATTCTCCGTCTCTACGGCAGCCGGAAAACACCGCAAACAGTACAGCGCAGAGGAATAAACAGCTGATTTTGTTTACTCTTCGGAGATTTCTGCGTTTTCCAAGTTGCTTTTTGGGAGTAGAAGTTGACTAAACAGGATGCCTTTCCGCCGTTGGTTCAGGGAGCGGGCGGGTAGTCGGGCGGAGCGGCCCGGAGTCGAAAACCGGGACACAGATCGGGTGAGTGTAACGTTAGTTACCTTGGTTAGTTTTTTTTTTTTTTTTGGTCACAATCTTGTCCGATGCTTGTCAGATATGGAAGCTTTGTAGAGGAAAATGAGTTGTGGTGTGATGCTTTTAACTTTCCTAAATGAACAAACTCGTAGATTATTTTGTTTTACGGTATGTTCCCTTACGAAATGACAATACTTTTTTCTTGTCCATTTGTTTATACATTTGTAATTGTATTTGTACGTAAATACGTATATACGTCTACTTTGTGAACTTCATACGGTCATACCACTATTACTTACTCACACATCATCAAGTACGAATAAAATGAAACAGTACATAAGGACTGTGCTCTTGAAAGTTGGGATTTCCGGTTGAGACATTTTGGCGCGGCAAATGGTGTGGAAATGATGTCGAATCTCTCCTGAAGTCTTGTGTTTCCCTCCTCTAGATGTACCAGGATGAAATCGAGACGTTGCGCGACACGAACGCGACTCTGGCGCGACAGATGCTGCAGCAGGAGGCTCGGATGGAGGAGGAGAAGGAGGAGCTGAGGAGGAAGATGCGGCGGCAGGATGCCAGGATGCTGATGAAGGACAACCAGATCCTGAAGATGAAGAGGGCAGTGGACGAACAGAGTCTGGAGATACAGGAGTATAAAGAACAGGTTAGTGCTTTTGATTACTGCATCCCTTCGCGGGAAAGAGACGGCTATAAAACGTTAGCTCTGAAGTGCATGAGTTTGTGCCACACAGACTAAAGAGCGGGTCAAAAATAGGAAATATTAGCCTCCTTCGCAGACTTGTAGGGCGCGGCGTTATTTTTTTCGGTAGCTATATAGCGACGAGTGTTATGCCACGGAGGGACGATTTCGCTGCCCAACTTGCTAAACTCTCGGCGGCAAAATCGTCCCTCCGCGGCATAGCTCGTGTCGTTCATCGAAAAAATAACGCCGCGCCCTACAATTCTGCGAAGGAGGCTAAGAAAATATAACTCTTTATAGATCCCGTTGTGTTCGTGTTTTACAAAGTAGCTGAAACACATTATCCGTTCATGCTTAGGTTGCGGAGTTAGAGGAGAAGCTAGAGACCAGCAAGGCGAGATTTGCTGCCAGGGCAGAGAGGTGGAGACAGAAAGTCAACAAGACTGCCGAAGAAGTCTTCACGGACTTCCAGTTGAAATGTGTAAGTTGTACAAGACTATATATGTCTGTTGTGGCTAATTAACCATCCAGTGCATAGCCAGTTTGGGATAGAGCTGCTTTGCAACTGTACTTTGAGTTCACTTCAAACTGTATTTCTTCCGTGCCATTTCTGTTAGGTCCAACGTTAACTGTACATATATAGGCAAGTCATGTAGATAACGGAGAAATAATTTGAAGAAGGAATGACTTCTAGATCTGCTTGAGACAGCTTTACCTGCATGGCTGAGGAAAGTGGATCGTAATCAGAAATCTCTTCATTGGAAACCGTTCAAACGTATGGTCATAACGAAGAAAAATTGTCTGAAACTTTATACTCATGTCGTAGCAAAAGCAGATCAAGGAACAGCTGCACTACGCCCACGAGGAACTGGCCGACCTCCGCTTTGACCTACAGGACAGCAGGGACGAAGTGGATCACCTCTTGCAGGAGTTGATGGTACTGAACCAGGACATGGCGGAGCTGCAGCGCCTGTTTAGCGCCGACAGGTGGGCAGACGTCATAAATTGCGTTGCGTAGAAGCGCCCAGTTAATTGATACCTTTGAAAATCCTTTTTTTCTCTTGCAAATTTTGGTCCAGTTTGGAGCTAGAAGGAACAGGTACGGTCTAAACTTTCCTATACTTTGGTCAAATTTTGTTCATTTCACCAGTTTAGTGGGCATAATTTAATGAGAGACCTGAGTGATGAGGTCTTGCCTGCCCAGGGCGGATGGATACATTTCTTCAATGTTGTCAGCTGTTGTAAAAGTTTGAGCTGGTGAACCCCATATTTTCTTTTCTTTTATTTCATTCACATTTATTTTTCGAGGATTGGGCAAAAAGTTATGAAACTTATGTTATCCCTCTCCTCACACATAAAAGGAAACAATAAAACAATAAAACAAAGTAATAATAGTAATAATAAGAAAGGACAAAGGTACATAATGAACTGGTGTACAAATCAAAATCAATCAACTAAATCAAACAAAACGTCCTGTCTGCAAATATTTTACAGTTGTTGACAAACGACAATGACATATGTTCTTTCTATATTTGGAAAGCAGACCCTTGTGGCTCTCTGGTGCAGAAGACTTTCGAGATTGAAATGTGAGAAAGTACTTTCATGGGGACTTGTTGCAGTGTATTTAACCATGGGTTCCTATACCCTGGGTGCCAGCCAAGTTTACGGGCCGCTAGCCGTTTCTTTCGGCAGCCAGAAGCCCTTCGCCCGCAGACCTAAATTACCGCTGCGGTGGAATTGGACGAATTGAGCCCGTGGGGAGGTTTCGGCCCTGCAACTAGGGCCAGCCAAACTCCCCCCGGGCTAGACCCCCCCCCGTACCGCTAATTTACACCAGCGGGTGAAGGGCTCTTGCGACCCGGAAAACGAGTTCTGGCTTCCAGGGTAAGGTTCCTATGGCCAAAGGTAATTGTACTGTATGCCCAGGTGGGAGGATGTGGTCGGCAGCGCGCTGTGGATGAAGGACCGCTGCGCCGAGCTGGAGGTGCAGGGTCAGGAGAACACAGACCTGCGGGAAGAGTTGGACATTCTGCGTCAGGAGCTGTACATTCTGCAGTCTCCTCCTCCAGCAGGTGAAAAACGTTGCGACTAAAACGCAGATTATGACTACATTTGTAGAGTCTGGGACAGATAATGTGGTGTGGTAATACCGTATAGTGTGAATGGTTAGAATTCCGCGCTTCCTGCAGTGTTCTGAACGTCACCCCTGCCTGAATTGTTATGGTGTTTTAGAGAAACAACAAAGCAGTCTTCCTCAACTGAAATATATAACGTCAGTATGATGTGTTTTTCCAAGACTGCATCTGAGTGTGATCAGGTTTCAAGATAGCTCGCATTTTCGGCCAAGCACACAGGGTCACATTCTACTTTTCTCGATAAATGTGTTAAGTTTTTGGGAATTGTATGCTGAATTTCGAATTATCAATATATAACATACGCCAGGCTAATCTGCTCTCTTGATGCCATTATTACTTTCTATCCTTCCAGTGGTTCTTGACAGCATCTATATGTCCACCGAAGAGCCAGATGTGACCATGGATGAGCTGGACAACAGTGGTGAGTATCAGTCAACACGGCATTGGTACACTAAAGCGATAGCATTAACTACTGTGGAACCTTTCACGTGCATGTTCACAGTGAGATATATTGCACAAGTTGAAAATCGCGGCGAAATCTGAACGAAAGCGTCACAGTGCCAATGACGTCGACTCGACTTTGGCCAACTGATTCGCAGCCACGAAATCGAACAGAATAAGTATGTCATGGCCGTTAACTTTACATATGCCCAGAACGGGACACTTCTTACTGTGCTGTGTTGTTATTCTCGATCCGCAGTTAACTTTACATATGCCCAGAACGGGACACTTCTTACTGTGCTGTGTTGTTATTCCTCACAGTGACCTTGGATGAAGAACACGAGTCCTTGTGCGAGGAGGACGCCGCCATCTTGAACAGTACCAGTGTCCCCCGTACGCATCGCCTGGCCTGTGGCGATGATCAGACGTAGAACCATGCACGGGTAGAACTCTGCTCTACGTGTTAGAGCTACGGCGACATCATATTGGTCTACTACAGTCCTATGTATTTTACCATAGATTCTTTTAATGGTCACCTATGGTATACATAATGTATCTTTATTGCGACTAGTTCTATTGGTGTTGGTACGGAGATGATGACTAGAATTTAGAAACGGAGGTCGACAGAAACTGATAGCACGCTGTGAGTCTTCCAACAAGTTCAAGACCATGCGAAAAGCTGGAAGCTCTTGTAATCTTCCTAGTTCATATTTGCTCATAAATTTTGGAAAGCACGATATTTGTCCACGACACCGATACAAGAGCATGTCGTAGACCTACATTTATACACATGAGACATAGCTAGACCTACGCAAGGTCTTTCCCCCCTCCAAGGGCCGGTGTTCTATGCAAGATGTGCATGAGAGGACGACGCTCCAAGATATAGCCGGGCGTAGAAAATGATCTTTCTTGAGTTCGAGAAGAAAGGGAATGTCTTATGATGTTACACGCAGTCTCAGGCTTTTTTCTTTAGGAATTGTCAAGATTTTATTATGTAAAGGGTGCGCCATACAGTACTTGTTACACATGACCTGCGGTGGTTTTATGAGAAAGATGGTCAACCAAAAAATGTATCGACGCTTGAAAAAAAAACGAACAGAAAATCAAGGTCGGTGCAAAAGATGATCATTTTAAACTCCATTCTAACTCTACCCACAGACACAAATAATCCAAATTTACACCATTCGTAAGTTAAAAACCATTCTTAAGTTTAACGTACAAAAGATCGAGCTCCTATACTGGGATTGACTACCCTGGTACCCCACCCATCCTCATCCAACCCTTTGATCATAACATTTCAACATTCCGTTCAAATCTAATGAGGTCCACATAACCTATCTATAGTTCTTCCTCTGCCTGGTCTAGCCTTGAGTACTGATAGTCCTGGTAGGGTATAACTGGAGTCGGTCTGAGGGAATGCCATTTTCTATAACTATGGCGTGACGACAGCGAGAACTTGAAACAGCACAGGGCGGCCAGGATCTGCGAATAGACGTACAATTTAGTTAGGTACTGAGTTGCAAGGCACAAAATGAGCAATCAAAAACACACCCTTCAAAAACGCCCTTCATCTTCTATTCTGGCTTACAACCTCCTTTTTGGGTGGCTGCAATACCAGTATCAAATTGGCAACCTAATGGGGCGCCCAATGGTAACAGGTGGCCGATATTGGCTCCCTGGCTTGCCCCACAGAATCTGCTTGGCCTTACTTAACGCTAACATTGGATACAATGGGGTGGATAGCCTTCAAACTACGCTTGCCAACGAAGGATTTTTGTGGTGCTATGAGGTCATGCCAGCGTGAAGTACCTTCCTGATCTTCGTTCGCGAGGACAAGCCAAGAAAGTCGAGGACTATCCGTCATATGCTCTAATAATCTTGAATAAGAAGACTACTAGTATGTAATAGATTACAGGATATTGCATGATTGGTGTATGATTATTGTACGTACCACACAGAATATAGGAATCGCCGTGTTTAACCAAGTCTGCGTCGCGATGGAGAAAGCGAGTATCAAGTTTATCAAACTGAGGAGACAGCCCAAACCTGAATGGAAGACGTCCTGTAACCGAAAAACAACAGTTTCAGTAAAAGGGTAAAACTACATGGTGTTCTTGACTGATAAACGCTTCTAGATGATAGGCAAATCGCCATATTACCTCAAAGATGCAGCTAGGTGAGATAGGCAGGTGAGATAAAAACTACCTAGAAAGGTTACATTTTTACCTTCGCATATAGTTTATTCTTACTCGAATACATTCATATATACGGTCAGACAGGAGTATAAATCCCTCCTACTATAAAATTGCAACATCATGTAACCCAACACCAGTTACCATGGTGAGAGACATAAGAAAAGGTCAGTGTTTGGAACGAAAGAAGAAGAGGAAACGTCGCAAAAACAATATATTTTCCTTCGGTAAACATAATGATGACAATTATTCATGTACATGTACATTCTTGAAATGAATTGTTTATCTCACGCAAACAGCCCGCCCACCCCCCACCCTTTTTTTAATTTGACATTCAGTTAGCATTCTCTAATGTCTCGGCCTCTTACGAGAAGAATCCAAATCTTTTGCGGAAACGGCCTACTCACCAGTCCTAACCAGTTGACGCACGACAGCGGCCCTGCTTCGTGCCAGGACGCGAGAAAAACGACCCAGAGCAGCAGCGTGCTGAAGAACAGGAAGCCGGACATGGCCTCGTAGGCGGCCCACTCCTGCAGGACCGCGATCCGGCCCCACTCGTGCTGCCTCCGCACGTCCGACAGGATGAACGCTATCAAACTCCAGCCCTACAGACAGCAGGCATTAGGAGTAATACATGTGTATTGTATTATCATTTATAACATCTAAACTCTGTTCTCTTGTTACCTGGACGATACCCATGTTTTGTGATGTAATTTTTATTTTATGTCTAGTGGTGACGTAAGCATGTTGCTTGAGTGTGTCACCACTATGTATTGTATTTTTGCATGTTGAAATAAAGAAAAACGATATTGTAATGATATGATATGATATGATATGGTATGCTGTTGTATGATATGACGTACATTCTTAATTTGAGGGCCGGTACACCGTCACCATGTCACCATTGGACTTCCCCCACTCGACATGTAGTGCAATATACTACATGTAGTACTTGCATTGCCATATAGTGTGATCTTTGGTGATAAAAAATAATAGTTTTTTAATATTTTTTTTTAAATAATCAAATTTAATAACTTTCCCTGCTTTACACCATACAAACTTTAAAAAGAGAAAATGATCTAACATAATTCAGTGACCTAAGGCTATCTTTTGGTTGGGACCCAGGGAAACCGGTTTGAAGTTGTCATGTGAATCCATGACTACTCATGATATGTATGCAAACGCCGCCTAACGGATATCATGGTAGCTGCAGCATTTCCTGCAACATGTCATATACGTACTAGTACATAAACTTGAATTGACCTTCACTCTTGCTAATCAGGGCGATTTAAGATACACACACAAATGACACTAAGTCCAGTGTAATGGTTTGGAAAAAACACACCACAAGATCGCAAACTCCCCAGTAGTCTAAACCGATCCACGCCTCAATGAACCAGGTGACCCCACATTGCCTCCAACCTGATACACATACACCTCAACGTACAGGTAATTACGTCAAGACAACAGCTAGAAATCTACACCGGTTAACTCACCATCTGGAAGATTTTGAGGATCCCTAGAGAAGACTTGAGGAACATTGCGTCGATAGGAGGCTTGGGGATCTTCATGGTTGATCTGGGACAGACGATCGACTTCCTTCGGGGTCGACTTGTTGTGTCTGCCACCACTTAACTCACCTGGTGGAAACACTTCCAGGTCGGCTGGCAGCCTACCTGTGACCCGACGGGCGTCTTTCCGCTTGAGGCAGTCAGTGAAATGTTGCCCCACTTCTACAGGGTCACTCAAACCCCATAAACACTACCCCCAGAACCTTGTTTTACGCAGCTACGTCGCTGGTTGTGGTGTTCAATCTCAGAGACCAGAGCTACAGGCCCGCATTGTGTGAATGGATTGTTGTGCTTATTCAGCGTAGATCATTAAACCGTAGACCAACGCCCTAAAGTTGGTCAATACCCCAGTATGGTAAACCGGGTAAGCCGGCCGAGCCACTGTGTGTTTAAAGATGTGCCTTCAGACGGGCGAGTTCCGAACTTTTATAGAAATGTGAGCTTTTTAGAGTCCGACATGTAACAAGTTACAGTCATAGTACAGATCGTCAAGAGCACCTGTTGTACTCCTTTTTTCAACGCAAAGACGTCACAAAGACTTCAAAAATTCTTCAAGACGGAGTGATAAGTCCTCTCAAAATAGTCCTGGAATCTAAAGATATTCCTAAAAGTCGTTATTTGATAGAGTTGGCAATGCTCGGGGACCCAGAATCAGATGAGATGGTTCGGTTCTGACATGACCATGAAGTTACATTTCGTCAATACGCCAGTACTAATGTTCGTCACTAGAGGGCGCTTCTGCTCTACCATCACGTCATGCAAACAACCTTCATATTTACGACAGTTGCTCGTTTTGCGGCACAAATTATCCGGAAGTGAACGCTTCATCTTGATTCAGAGCCAAAAGTAGGCGTTACTTATTAGTCATATTCAGGTGATTATTTTGGCGCCGTGACGCGTTTTGGGGACGTGTCTTATATTCTTTGTCCACCCAAGCGTGCAGAGGACCTCCTAAACTTCCATACTCATCTCAGAAGGTAAGATTTTTTCTATGATTGTAACAGTGGGGGGTTTATAGGCTGTTTCTTACATGTTACACCATTGCTGTTTGGATGATTATATAATCGCAAGTTACTCGCATAGTTGTTCTAGTCGTTACCTGTGTTATATAACTGTGTTCAATATATAGCAGCAAATAACAAAGACTATGCTTTTCCATCAGTCACACAGTATTTCGAAATCACTATTACTAGCGTTAGTAGTTCTGCTTTCGTTCTCTCCTTTATGAAATCAACTTTCACATTGAATATTTGTAGTGTAGTGTGTACAGTTGATATCATGCAGAAGCTTATGACTCAACAAAACGTTCTATAGGTCATGTCATGAAACATCCAACTGATACAACTGATTAAGGTACCAGGCATTGCCTGTATGCTTTGCTTTTCAATTAATTAAATCATTATAGACCATTACTTTTCATGCAGATCCTTTGTGTACATGTATTGAGTTGTATGATGTGAGTGACAGCTTCTGCACATGTTTGCATTTGGTTGGAAACTGTTGTGTATTAATAAATGTCAATGAACTTTAAACACTACATTCAAACCAGGCTTTTAGCTAGGGGGTGTCCAGGGTGTCTTTTGGACTCCCTGTACTGAAAATAATAAGAAATTGGATGCCTTGCTTTTCGATAGGACACTCTAAAGACCCCCTTAGGCTATTTTTTCCACTCCCAACCCCTGCCATGCACACACGCCTCCCTTTAGTCCTTAATACTATAAAGTTATATACAAAAATGATGGTTTACTGAAGGAAAATACTCAAAATTTGCACAAAATACAGTGTAGTGGAAAAAGCTCGGGCACTGTGCATCTGCGCTGCGCTGCGTAGCATACAAAAAAAAAAAAAAAAGGACACCCAACAAAAAAATCCTAGCTAAAAGACTGATTCAAACAGTAACGCTGTTACATTCAAACACCTTACCCCCTATCATGAAATAATGAATTTACAGACTAAGTGAGATACAAAGTTAACACAGGTTTATTTTTATGTTTACCGAAGGAAAACATATTGTTTTTGCTCAGTTTCTTCCACTTCCTCTTCTTCTCTAAACAGTGATCATGACCTCTGACCTGGCCATTGACCTAATTTGTTGACGTCTGTCACCATGGTATCTAGTGTAGGGTTACATCATGTTGCAATTTTGTAGCAGGAGGGATTTAGACTCCATATACGTGAATGTATTTGAGTAAGAATTAACAGAGCAGACCATATGCAAAGGTAAACATTATGCATTTGCTGTGCAAATGTTACTTTTCTAGTCTTAACAATAACATGCCCTGCCCTTGCTTTAGCTAGAACCAATACCAGTGAGGATGCCTCCCATCGGTGCCCCTCCCCCTGTCAACCCTGCCAGTAAGGTGGAGCTGCGTGTGTCGTGTGCCAGCCTGCTGGATAAGGACGCCCTCTCCAAGTCTGACCCCATCTGTCGGCTCAAGATGTTCCAAGGAGGGCACTGGTATGAGGTAGGTAGTGTTGACTGTCCTTTTACATCCAAGGGTTGTCTATTCATCAGTTCTACAAAATAGAAGCTATATTTTCCCTATTTTTTTCTTCCCATGTTCTGCATGATTGCAGTAAAATTCTTAGTGAAAGTAACCGGGTAGTACACAATCCAAAAAGCCTTGACCATAACTGTCACAATTTTATGGACTGCAGCTAGCCTCGGATTGGCCCATTCCTTTTAGTACATAAACCAGGCTAGAGTTTTCTGAAAGCATAGATACATGTACTTTCTGTTGCCCACCTTCTAGAATGATGTCACTTACATTTTTGACATGCAAACATATTCGACATGTAAACATCAATCTGCATCTGTGACCTTTGGCGTAACACACCAGCTATGACAAATCTTTTTCCATTGTCAAGTTTCCGCCAAATGGTTGATGGAATTGACAAACCCTGACCCAAACCACTGTTTTTTTTCCCTCCAAGACTGGCAGGACAGAGCACATCATGAACACACTGAACCCCACCTTCGCCAGGCCCTTCACGGTGGACTACTACTTTGAGGAGGTTCAGAAGATGAGGTTTGAGGTGTTTGACATTGACAACGCCACGGCCACGCTGGATGATGATGACTTCCTGGGATACATGGAGTGTACCTTAGGACAGGTGGGAAGGTTTACCTGACCAGCTTTCTGTATCTGTATCAGTATAGCTGGTAACACACCAGCTTTGCAGGCACATGGCGGCAGCTAGCTATATCACACAGAACGACTTGTTACACTCAGTCTTTGCACATTTAATTGTAGGAGTTGTTTAAAGCTTTCTAGTGATGATGCCCCAACTGTACTTGGTGGCTATGAGTTCCAGTCTATGATACTTCTGGGGAAATACGAGTTTTTGAACACAATTCTTGGTCGATAACTCTGATATCTGAAGGCATTTCTCCTTCGCTACACATTGTTTTTTATTGCAACATTACATTTTAAAAGAATACAATACATAGTGTGAAAGTTCATCTGTGTTGGTACAAGTCATTATGAAATAATAAAGACTAAACTTTCCTTCCAACACTGGAATGAATTGGGACTTACCCCAAATTTTTGACTACGTTATAGACTAAAGTCCACAACAGGAACAGGAACAACTGGTTCTGGACAGAAATACAATAAATACAAAATAATACAGAAACTGAGGTAGTCAAATAAAATAATGTTACAGGTAACAGGAAGTAAGTTAACTCAATTCTGGTTTGATTTTGAACAGATTCACTTGTGATGCACACTTATTGATGAATTAATATGTTACATACTCATTGATAATTTCTGTACAGTACATTATAAGTCTTCCAAAATCATTTGATATTTGTCCATTTCCAGGTTGTGTCTAACAAGACGTACACCCAACCCCTACTGCTGAAGGAAGGCAAGAGAGCAGGCAAGGGCTCCATCACTGTGAGTGGTTTGTATGCTTTTACACCATAGAAAAATCAATCAAACTGTTGACATCATTAGGAAGTTTTCAACGTACAATGTGCATATGACCTACTCTCCAAGCAGAGGTTGATGGGGGAAGATCGTTACCTTTTATATATGGCCCCCTTTTTTTTTTCGCTATCCCAACCTTGGGTGGCAAATTGGACCCTCTTTGGCCAATGGATACTGCCTGGCCAATTTGATACTGTCTCTTTGCCACCCTAGGATCTGCTTGGAGATTACATATGATCGTAATCTTTTGGATATGCCAATTATTTGATGCTAACAAGTAGCAGTAGAGCGATGATGATGTACCTTATGATTTATTAATTATTCTGGTACAATACTGCTTTGGTCTTTTTGTTTCATCAATTATTTATGTACTGAATACACATGTATGTACATGCTTGCACGCAGGTTTACATTAAACAGTGAATGCCAGGGCATGTTAAATTCCAGCAGGGTTTTCTCACTAAGTCTTGGTAATTGAACAATGTGTTGTATTTTTAAAACTGGCAAAAATGACACTCTTAGGCCCCGGGGAAAAATGTTGTGTTTCCTGTTTCAGCCCTGAAAAAATTAGGATTGGTAGGTAGGGATTATCTTTTTTTCCTCCTTTTTTTAAGACTCTAGCTGTCTCTACTCTTGTGATCCAACTTGCAGTTTAACAAAGCAAAACCTGCATAACACTTACGTTTTCAATGTTAATGTGGGAAAACTGATTGTACAATTTTTCATCACTCGTGTATCAGATCATGGAGCTAGAAAAATAAAAAGTTCGATCAGCTTGAAAAATGTATGTCCCTTGCAGGGGTCCACTAAAAAAAAGGCTAGGGTTGGCAATTTTTCTAGGTTCGGTTGGGAAACAGGAAACACAACATTTTTTCCTAGGCCTTACCCCAATATTTGCTTTCTATCCTTTCTATCCTCTTGGAGGACCTTAATGGTCTTGTGAGATTTAATTGGAGAGAAAGACTTATAATTTTTATTGCAGTAACAAAGAAAATTTTTTTCTGATGATGAATATCTCACATCATCTTGATAATATAGGATACAAAAATCACATATTGCAAGTTTCTCTTCTGGCCCAACAAAACAGTTTTACATTGTCCTAATTTCTGATTCTCTCTCCTTTATGTATATACAGGTGACTGCAGAGGAACTGGCTGGAACCAGTGAACATGTTCATCTCACGTTTTTCGCACGCAAGTTGGACAACAAGGTGGGTTGCTAGTAGTCAGAGACACTTCAGATAAGTAGAAGTTTTCTAAATACTAGGAGACAGCTCTACCAAGACTCACGCCTTCGAAAGAATTCTTTTTATTTCACAGATAGCTCACATATGTAACTTTAAGTATGGTGCAAGCTACACATACATGTACATTTCAGGCCTATGTTGCAAAATATGCTGAAATTGTATCCTTATTTCTTAGTCAATTTCCAACAATTGGGGAGCGCCTGAATTGGGGGGGGGGTGTGTGTAGTGATTACGAATTACGCAAATTTTTGCCGCCGATTATGAATTACGTTAAAGTCTCAGAGCTGATTACGACTTTACGATTTCTGGCTAATGTACTATTACGAATTACGTTAATTTTTTGGGAGGCTGCCTACAGATTACAAAGACTGAAATGGCCTGATTACGCCTAACGAAAAAGGGCATGCAGGCCCCCATTGGGGTGTTTGTGGACTGTTGTATTGCAAGGTATATTTTCCATGAATGTTCACATCAGATATAGGAGATGCAAAAGAAAGTCTACCTCATTTTTGATCGCTGTCTTATACCCGCAGGACTTCTTCAGCAAGTCAGACCCCTATCTGGAGATCTACAGGTGTGACTATGCCTCTCAACAGATGGTCTACAGAACAGAGGTGAGTGTTATCCTCTACCTGAAACATCAGCAGTCTTTGTTAATAAAGGGTTAATGCCTCGCCCCGAGGTGTATATGTTGCGATAATCCCTGGTCAGGTGCGATAACCACTGAATAAACCACCAATGAGTGTGGTCAGGTGCGATAACCACCGTATAAACCACCAAGTGAGCGTAGCTGTAAGTGTTACGGTCCAAAAAGTGGTTGGTTATTCTAATAACCAACCACTTTTGAGGTTATGGCCTGATAACCAATTGCAAATGTAGCCTTCTTATTGGTCGACACCTTATTGGTCGACAACCTATATGATAATATATGTTCATGTGAAAGAGTCCATCTGTTTTGAAAATCAACAGCAATTTTTTGTAATAGCATATGTGGAGTAATGTGGTACACAGTATATATTGAGTTAACCTATTGATCTTTTTTTCACTGTACAGGTCGTCAAAAACAACTTGAACCCAAAGTGGAAGCCCTTCAAGGTCAACATGCAGACACTCTGTGACCGAGATTTTGACAAGAAACTTTTGGTATGGTTAGATAAAGATATCTGACTATTTTCACATGCTTGATGTCTTAAGACTTACTGATACATGTAACGGTTATACGTAGGCATATTACAGGAGATATTACAGTACATAAGACATTGAAAGTAAATTTTGTGATTGTAACCCTCCCTTTCTATCTTAAAAGTTTGTATCATGTATCATGTCTTTACATGTAACAGGCTAGGCCTAGAATTGTTACAAATGCTATTATATATAAAACTAGAGTTCCACGATCTCATACCTTCGCCAAATGATGTTAGCTTTTATGATTAAGAAATTATATATTAATCCCCCTAATTATGCAAACAGGATCCTCAATTGCATGAATTATATCTGTTGATCATATTCTCCACCAAAAGACAGTCTTATCTTAACAAAAATGCCATGATGAAATTTTCTCATAAATTATGCAAATGAGGTCCTTATTTGAATAAGTTATGTTTAATTATGTTAACTTAACTTTCAAACACCCCAAGTATAAAATTCCAGGCAGTTACCACTATGCAATTATAATATTTTCTCATTAATTATGCAAATTAAGTCTTCATTTGCATAATCGATATCTGCCTGTGTTTCTCTCATTCTTAATGACATATGTCACAAGCTTGAACTTCCTATTATGGAATGCAGCTGATAAATAGAATTTCCTCATTAATTATGCAAATTACATCCCTATTTGCATAATTGTAATATCATTATGTCAAGCATCACTCAAGCTACCTACATACCAAAAATCACGATGATCCATCAATCGGTTCTTGAGTTATCCCCCTTTAAACATTTGTCCATTAAACCCCCTTGCAGTTCTAGAGCAAGCAACTAGGGGGCTCAAACTTATGTCACTTCATCCCCAGCATAAGAGCTATCTACCATCCAAATTTCGTCACCCTAGCATGTCTGGATCATGAGATATCAAAACCGGAAGTTCTGCTGCAGTACCATGACAAGCCGCCAGGTGGCCCAAAATCTAATCATTTTGAGGTCTCATCAAGACCTACCCACCTACCAAGTATCAAGACAATCCATCAAGACCTTCTCAAGTTATCGTGTTGACAGACAGACAGACAGACACACACACACATACACGAACGCCCCTGAAAACATAACCTTCTTGGCGAAGGTAATAACAATATTGCAATTGGATATGCAGCAAAAGAAGGTTCACTGCAACCTTGGCAGTTGTTGTGAATATGATTTGATGGACATAAATGGTCTTAATCATAACAATCATCTGTTCTTACCTGTAGTTTAAGTGCTATGACTGGGACAGTGACGGCAGTCATGACTTCATTGGACAGTTTGAGACAACCTACAGGCAGATGTCACAAGCTGTGGGCTCACCGGTAAGACATAATTATCAGCCTACTATATTTCTAACACAAGCTTAGTTAGACTTTCATAGTGTATACGGTGTGTACAAATATACTTACCCTTCCCAATAGTGAGTTACAACTACATGTACCAGAATAAGTACTGAACTACTGTACATTGTTTTATGATTGGCCATTTTCCTGCTAATGAGAGAAGATTAGTCCCAAGTGTATTTGTCTTAACAACTTCTCTGGTAGATTAAAGTTCCTAGATTTTCAATTCCTATAGTATAAATTACAGGTCTGTGTTTTGTAAAGCTGTGCAGTTTTTGTTTCACAATGTAAAAACTGTTTTGATAGGTGGAGTATCCTTGTATCAACCCCAAGAAGGCCAAGAAGAAAAGTTACAAGAACTCTGGAGTCATCACTCTGCAGTCCCTGAAAGTACGTACGCTTTGTGGTCACTTGGAATTGTGTAATTTTTTAATGGTGAAATTTGCATTGTGAGATAATATAATAAATGTAATATGCCATATGATCATGAAAACTAAGAACTGAATTGGATATACTGTAGGTTTATGATACCTTGTTGATAAAACTGATGATGGGAAACATAAACTTTTCTTCCCTACATTTCAGGTTGTGAAGGAGTACTCATTCCTGGACTACATCATGGCAGGATGTCAAATCAACTTCACTGTAAGGAGTCTTCAGTTGAAACCTCTGCTTGAAAGATACAACACTTATGAAAGTGTCTTAATACATAAGGCCACACCAATTTAGTTTGTTGGTTCTCGGATTTGCCTCTTCATTTTTTTCTGACTTGCAAAAAAAAGATTCTGGGTCTGAATCATAATCAAACCAAAAAAAGCTGATATTTTGCCCCCAGCAGGTGAGGAAAGCCCTTTTCTTCCTAGATGTTACAGATTTTCCATCTATTAATGCAGTAGTTTCATTAAAAGTTAAAAAATGTATTGTTTAGATATTAAGCCAGCCTTTTGTGTTGACTTCATGGCTCCTATGGTAGCATTTTGGGCTATGATAGGATGCCTAGACCTGTTCTAATTTTTATTTTTCCCCCTGCCGCTTCAGATTTTTTTCTGAGAACCAACAAATTAAATTCGTGTGACGTAATCACATTTAATGTTGATATTGTCTATAATTGTATACTAGTATTTTGATAATTGATAGTACACTCTATGCTGTTTTAGGTTGGTGTAGATTTCACCGCATCCAACGGGGACCCGCGACAGACCACTTCCCTCCACTACATCAACCCCTACGCCCCCAATGAATACACCAAAGCACTGATAGCTGTGGGAGAGGTTGTACAAGACTATGACAGGTACACATACCATAAAGGCTTACCATGTACTACGTTTTCAGACCTCATGTATCAAATTATGTAGAAAATGAACGAATGAACGAATGAACTTTATTGCTGGACAGTTGTACATGTACATGGTACAATGTATGGCATCAGTAACAATGTGATCATTACAATCAAGTCTATTCTAAGAGACTACTAGTATTACTACAGGAATATGAAGTTCAACGTAAATGGTGTATGACATGATGTGTGTTAGGCGTTGCTATCTGTTACTGTTCTTTCTCTCTTTTATAATGCACCAGCACTACATATAATTTGGCCTAAGTATAGGTAGATATGGAGTCGGGGCATGACATAAGTAGATTGAAAATGTCTATGTTTGTCTTTGGGAGAGGTTTACCAGTTTTACATGTGATCATTTTCATTAATTTTTGTCTATCTAAAGTACATGTATATGTAGGACAGGTCATTATGAAATGATATTCATCTTCAATGTAGTGCAAATCTTGAGGTGTTCACCATGGTTTTATGCTTTTGTGGTTTTTGCATGCGGCGATCTCATCTACACTGCAAATTCATGATGCCACGACTATGTATTTCCTATGCATTACTACTGTACTGTAAATCTTAGCTGAGATGTAAGGTTGTACTGTACAATGGAAGACACGTGATAAAACAATTGTGAATTTGTTTCTCCTTGCAGTGACAAGCTGTTCCCTGCACTAGGATTTGGAGCAAAAATTCCACCCCATTTCCAGGTGAGGCGACTTGAGTGTTAGCACGCGTGCAAACCAACGTGAGTTGAGTAAGCTCACGTCGTGCAAAACCTCATATTCGGGTCCCAGTATATACCTGGGTGAGGTGATCATGGTGAATGGATTCATTCAAACTTGACTTGAGAGAGGTGTTTTTACAGAAAGACATAATTATAAGCAATGGATCATTTACATCCATATTTGTATTGTTCACTCACTTGTGTGAAGAGAATATTATTACTGAATATTAAGTAATTTAAAAAATTAAGCATCCACAGTGGTATTGTGGGCAGATATGATCAAAAAGCATCCTACATGTACAGCTTGTTAAAAAGTTTCCATTCTATGCTAGATTTTACCAATTTGATTTTACACAGTTTTGAAATACATGTATGAACTCAATGCAATGTTTCCCTTGATATTATGTTCACCCTTGTTTTTGTCATACAGGTGTCCCACGAGTTCCCTCTCAACTTTAATGTACAAAATCCCTTCTGTGCTGGTAAGGAGTTGAGACTTATTAAGTTGTGCAAGGATGAAGCTAATACACTTAGTTTTGGTAGAGGAATTATGTTTCTCATTCGGGTTTGTAACATAAGTCTCTGAAAGTGCAATTTTTTGTGCCTTACCTTTGCCCACATTTCTTATATTAAGCCACACCAATTTGATTTGTTAATTCTTGCATGATGAAATAAAAAGGGTTATGCAGAGCTCAGAAATCCAGTCATGAAAGCAATGACAGGGGGGAAAGTCTGTACCCCAGTTGACAAACTTTCAGAGAGTGAATTTAGGCATATTCCATTTTTTTCTCCCAGTGCTCTATTTTCTTATTCTTCTTGCTTAAAATTTATTTAGAATGTCAGATGACCAATGAAATGAATTTGTGTCATACTGAATCATAGGTGCAAGAAAACAAACAATCTTGTGTAATACTATGTGTTTAAAGTTAAAACGTTTGATCCAACACAAAGAAATTCTCTGACCTAGAGCTTTCGCCCAGTCACTCTGGTCATCCTCAGTAGACTGACCCAGTGAGGCTTGTCACGTGGCTTCCTTGAAGTGTGACGTCAACACTGGGTCAAATGTATCTGGTAAACGATGTTGGCCCTCATTGCGATTGAGTAAAGGGTGACAGACCCTGATATAAATAGCCTCTTTTAACCCCTCTTGGGAAATATATAGTCTTGTTTTGAATCCAATATTCTTACAGTGTCTAGTGAAACAGTGTGACTGGTCGAAAGCTCTGGGTGAGAGAATTTCTTTGTGTTGGATCAAAAGTTTTAACTTTCATTTCATTTATTTTATTTAACCACAGTAATACACTCAGGTCTAACTGACCTGGTTTTCAGGTATTCCTGGGGTTACATAGTATTACATAAAATACACAATATACATGGGAAAATAAGAATACACAATAAGAATGTACATTACAATTTCAATTCAACATACATGCCAATCATAAAAACATATGCCACTCAAGTCCCACTCAGAGAGTCTTTGAAAGATGTTAAAGATGATAGTTGTCTTTGCTCCCTGGAAAGTTGGTTCCACAGAACCGGGCCCTGGTACTGCAGAGACCCTTTGAACGATGCGATGTTTGCCTGTGGCACTTTCAGCATGTGCAGCAAGAGCTTTAAACATGTACTAGTGACCAACACAGATGAACTTTCATGATAATCTTGTGTTCCTTACACAGGTGTGCAGGGCATTGTGGAGGCGTACCAGAATGCTTTGCGGCAGGTGCAGCTGTACGGCCCCACCAACATCGCCCCCATCATCAAACATGTGGCCAGGTTCGCTCAGGCGGAACAGCAGAAAGGAGGAGGAGCACAGGTTAGGCTTGATTTACACACGCGTCATTTTTCTGTGGCACGTCCAGGAGGTGCCACAAGAAAACCGCCGCCCAGCGCCGCGCGTCTGTGGCGGAGGTTGTTTACACGATAAAAAAATCTGTCGCACAAAACGCGCAGTGCAGCGCCGCGCGCACGCTCGCGTCATTTTACGCCCAACACATATAAACGTGTAAATCGGGCCTTAGTAGAAAAGTCACTTAACCCTAGTCCTACGGTACCCAACAATTGTTGTGTTGCACATACAATACCATCCATATCGCACCCTGTATACATGTATGTACGATTTGGGGGTATTTCTTTATAAGACTTTATCACTTTGAAGCGGCATTATGTAACATTACAGCAATACAAAAAGTAAATTTTCATCTCTATTGCAAACTCTACTCTATTGCAAATAAGTGTCATTCAGGAGGTGCAGGTGCCAAAATATGACTCCATAGGAGTGAGTTTAAAATCTTGAAACACGACTCTCTGCCATGTTTGTTTACATTCTATTAGTTTGCGGGGGCACCACAAACTGTGAGTGCCTCGTATGGACTCTTTTCGTGCCAACCACAAATGTCATAAATATGAGATAATTTGCACAAATATGTTGAAAAATGGAAGCAAATTGCAATCACACGAATATTCTTTACAACAGAACATTTTGATTTTTGGTGCAAAAATGTTACATAATGCCTTTAAGAAGCCTAAGGCTCACTTTAGACTAGAAACAGTTTACCACTCCAAAACCCCTCGAAACCCTTTGCAACCAAAAACAGTTTCTCTTTAGACACAGGAGTGGAAGGGTTTCGGGCCACCCTTGGTGTGGGATTTTGCGGGTCAGAATCATCCAACATAGTGGGAGAAGAGCGGCATATTTCATCTTGCGACACAAGTTCATCTTTTTAATGGTTGCCATGCTAAGCGTTTCTAGTCTTAAGTAAGCCTAAAAGTGATTCTTTCTCCTTCCTTTATCTAGAACTACTATGTGCTGCTGCTGCTGACAGACGGGGTGATCACAGACATGGCGGACACGCGGGAGGCCATCGTACGCGCCTCGCACCTGCCCATGTCCATTATCATCGTGGGGGTGGGCGACGCCGACTTCACTGACATGGAGGTCCTGGACGGCGATGACGGGCTGCTGAAGTCACCGCGGGGAGAGCCGGTCAAGAGGGACATCGTCCAGTTTGTGCCATTCAGGCAGTTCAAAACTGTGAGTCATCGATACCTGTTTTCAGGCCTCGAAAATTAACTTGTCTTCCTATTGTCCCAGCACTGTCTCAAAAATAAATTTCAATTGTCCCAAAGTGAGAATGAACTGTCCCAACCTTTTTTTTGTATGACTTCAACCTGAAGTCAACTTTATTTTGCTTATGTTCACTCCCAGGCACACTATAATATTATTTATTGCAGAGTAGACAGGAAATTCAGGGAGACTTTTCTGGATCCAAAAGCCGGGATGTGTGCCTGACAAACAAAAGAAGGGCTGACAATTCTGATGTTGATTATTTTTCTATTGTCCCAAAAATGTCCCAAAGTGTCTTTTTAGTTGTCCCAATTTTATTTAAACTAAATTTTAGTGTTCAGTGGCCATTGGACCACCTTTAATTTCGAGCCCTGGTTTTGTCATGCCTTCTCATACCATTACCATGCTCAGGTCTGCTGGAAGACAAGTTTTGGTGTTTGATTCCAGACGTAACCAGTGGTCTTATGTTCACAAGCCATCAGTTTTGTTAATTATCAGTAACTGTTCTGAGGATTTTTCTCTGATTAAATCAAATGGTAGGAATAAGAGAATGTTGTCAAAAAAATTTAGGTTGATAGTACATGTACAATGCTGAACTTAAACCAGCACAAATTTGCTTTGGGCATGGAGGTAGAAAAAAGGAAAGGAGGGAGGACGTATTTAGCACCCGCCGCGGCCTTTTGTTTTGCGGCGCTAGATCCCGCTGGTTTCTATTGTCCGCCGGCCCGGCGGTACTTCGTTTGATGCCTATGTTCGCCGCGGTCTCTCCCGCCAGAATTCCATATATGGCTATGCAAATGAGCCGAAAATGACATCACTGCCAGCGACGGCAGCCGAGTCCACTCCGAGCAGGGACCGACATACCCGAGTTTCCGAGCATTTCCTTATTTGGGTTGCGTCGTATTGTTGCGCAGAAGTCAGCATCGGGAGCGGAGGGAAATGGCGGATACGCAGATATGTTTATGTTTGTTGTGCGACGAAAAATGGGCGAGTTACTGCGTTTTTTGTGTTTTGTAAAGCTCGAATCGAACATTTTAGAACTGGAACATTTCAACAAATACAATCGTCTAGTATGAATTTGTGTGATTTTTTCTAGATATGCCGATATTTATTCTGGATAGTTGACGATGTTTATGTTCCATTTTCCAAACTTTCGTAACTGGCAAAGTAGCGATTTTTCCGGCAAAGTGGACTATTTGTGGCCATATTCTACAAGCTGTGTGCCTCTCTGCTAGCAGAGGAGGTGTGTAGAAATGGATTTTGTGCTCGAAGGCCCAAATAGAAACGAGACATTCTTGTAGTAACCGGGACATCCTTGCTTGTTGTTATTTTTCTACCACAAGGAAATATTTGAAGTGACACATGCGCTCAATTCTTTGGTTGATTGTGGTTACCGGTAGGCCCGGTGCATGTTCCTCAAACAAGGATTCAAGCAAGGATTTGACCAAAGATACTTAACCTCCTGTTGTTTCAAGTATCGGGGTATAAAGATACTAGAAATTTAAGTCTAGTTACTAGAAAATAGTTGCAGTGCCGTGCCGTCCGTCAAGTTTGTCGTCTTTGATACACGCTTCTTACCTCCCTGCATTCATCGAAGTAATCCTCAAATTTGATACAAACTTAGGCCACACCAATTTATGTCCTTGGTTAACGGATTCGCCGCTTCGTTTTTTTGCCAAAATGAAATAAAAATAAAAACAGAACAAAAATCCATACTCTCGGGTCCCGAATTGGGGCCCCAAAATCCACCCCGCACGTTGTAATTTTTCAAAATTTGGGCATAGTTAACAGCGTTAAAAATACATTGCTTCAAGGCAGAAACATTTTTCTGAGTGCAATTTGTTCGGAAAGCTAGGTTGCCTCTTCAAAAGTTCGTCAAAAAACATTCTTTTGATATAGAACTCGCCCCCCACCCCCTTTGCACATGTCACCATTCATGTGACAAAACTTCACTGACGACAGTCAAACGTACGGCAGATTTACTAAGTCATCGTGCCTGTAACAACATATCATCTCCCTTTTAGATATATATTATATTTCATTTAGAAACACGTATTGTGTCGGAAACATGTGCTAGTAACGGGCGTTAAAAGTAATCGGCCGAACGTATAAACTCGGCCTGGGCGGCACATGCACACACACCTTCAAAACGATCTTTTTTCCAGGGAATATGTAAAAATAACACGACATAACAATGTATTCTGGCATCACAAACTGTACTACTCTCAAAAAGTACAAAATCCTACCACAAACATGGGAATTTGGCAAAGTAAAAAGTCCTCCATGCACGTAAGTCCATTCACTAAAGCAACTTTCTCGCGGCCGGAAGAGTCCACTTCAAGTAGGGGGAAACAGGTTCTTTTAATTATAGAAATTACTCTGTGAAAAATACTACATGCGCATGTGGCATTCTAACAAAGTTACATCTTATTTAGATACCTATAAACAGGAGTACAATTGCAAATAATGCATCGATTATTACATCTAAAGTTTTTAATAAAATGGTTCCCCTACAAATAAAAATCCCCATACATCAAAGACTTTATAGTGAAACCCTAGACCATTGAATTTGTGGCAACTTGAAGAGTGTGTCAATGTGGCTATTTGTTTGAATGATGGCTAAGTATAATGTAGCTGTAGCATACCTAAAGTGTATAATGGGAAATATAAAATGTATACTACCGGTAGTATTTGGGAATTGGGGAAAGATAAAAAAATAAATAAAATACCTGTAAAAGTAGTTAATTCTTTTGCCAATAACTTTTACACATTCCTGGAAATTTGTCTAAAGCATATATTTAGGATATTGTAAATTTGAAGCTCTAAATAACTTCCATATCAGCCAGACACAATAGAATGCCCAGCCCAGTGGTAAGCTGTGTGCCCTGAACTAAGAAAACAATGGGATCTGAACAGAGCACCCTGATTTAAACCACTCTTTGGAACATTGAAAGATGAATAAAAGTGAAACCAGTTGGATGTGAGTCTTGTCAACTGACAGTTTGTTGTTCATACAGTAAAGATGTGTATCTTGCAAAATAATACGAATAATTGTAAAGGGATGTAAGAGAAGTTGCTCATGTACATGTAGTAATGGTCCTTTCAGTTCAATAAGTGTCTAATATAATATCTTATATCATTTTGTAACTTAAAACTTAATGGATTGCTTACTACATGGCTGCATGGCAGGTGGTCTCAAATTTTTATTTTTATTTTTTTTTCGCCCGCCCGCTCCATTTTTTTTCTAGAAAAATCCGTTAACCAAGAAATTAAATTGGTGTGGCCTTACCGTAGAATAAAAGTTGCTACACTTATAGTTGTCAAATGCCGGGCATGCCGTCTTGTCACTGACATTAATAACAATGGAAAACTCTGGTGTGCCGCTCTGGGGGCTACGCAAATCAGGGCAATTGACAAGTTCGTGCCAATTACAGTTTTGACGCCCGCGGCCAACATCGGACAATAGGCAGAAAGTTTGAGCTCCCTCCTTTCCTTTTTTCTACCTCCATGCTTTGGGTAAAAAAGAATCCAATTTTTAAGGACCACTGCCACCATCATCAGGAAATAAAGAACCAATTACTTCCAAACGTAAACCTGCGAATTACAGACACGTGACCTTATTCACAGAAGACTAATACTTTACATTCAGAAGTAATTTTTTTATTATCCTGATAAAAGCGACAGTGGTTATCAAAAATTTGATTCTTGTGTACTCTTTGTGTTGGAATGTAGTTGAGCATTGTACTATGATTGTTACCAGCACAGATAACCTCCTATGATTTAGATTGATGTTTAACAACTCTATCCCTTTATACCAGGCTCCTGCTGGTGCTTTATCCAAGCATGTCCTGGCTGAGGTCCCTACCCAGCTAACGCAGTACTTCGGTAGTCTGAACATTCCACCAAACCCCCCTAAAGCAGCCCCCTTCCAGGTCCCGGGGACGGTACCCCCTGAAGCACCGGCACCCCCTCAGCAATGATCGTGAGTCACCTTCCTTAGCATACCTTGCAGGCAACTACAGTATAAATCTTTTATTTTCTTTGTTATTGAAATCTGATTTTAGAACTGAGCACTTTTAGGTGCTATTGTGGACTTAACTGGTTTTGTGCCAAGTCTAGTCCACATGTTAAGACCAAGACATCCATTGTTTCCTATAAACTAAAATGTTGCAATTCTTATACCTTTGTTTAAGATGTCCTTTCAAATGCAATTATTGTACTTTTACGTAGCACAATCAGTTACTCTTTTGGTAGTCACAAAGGATGGAAAAAAATCCCTTGTGAACTAGCTAGCTAATCTAAATGGTGGTGATCTATAGCCTCTACCAGTCTTGGGGAGGTGGCTGGAAAGAGTAGAAATCGGCCAAATAGAGAGATAAGCATGCTAAGGGAGTTTGTCCGTTGAGAGAACATTTCGCAATGGACAAACTCCCTTGGCATGCTTATCTCTCTATTTGGCCGATTTCTACTCTTTCCAGCCGCCTCCCCAAGCCTGGTAGAGGCTAGGTGATCTACACGGTTTTGGTGTGCGGCAGTGCTCCTAGCAGTCATCCCAAAAACTGCACCAAGAACTGTGTTTCATTCTTCAAATGCAGATGAAAAGCAGTGGACACATTCATGGCTTTCCTTTACCATGAGATTTTTGCTATCGTACATGATATTTTTCTGGTGAAAATGCTGTAATTTGTGCTGTAATTTCATCATCATTCATCATCAATGATGATGAAATGCTGTATGCAAGACTTGCTGGCAGATATTTTGCTCAAGATTGTATGGTAATCAAACAAATTTTGTATTAAGATTATTTCTGAAAATTCATCTTCCTGCTAATTGCCCTATCCTTCTCCATAATCTGGCAACATTAACTTACATTTCACCTTTTCTTTAACTTTTTGTCTATGTAGAAGGATGCTCTATAGAAATAACATTTGCCTGCAAGGTTTGCTACAGTGAATGTGACTTGCTATCTATTTCATTGCATGTTTATGTACAGTCAGGTCCCGGAACCTTTTATAGAATCAAGGGGTTGCAGTCTAAAACTGAAAGGGGAGAGAAAGATTGAAACAATGTTGTTTTCTGACTGACTCCATGTCATAGTTTTCAATGTGCATGCCCGTAGCCAGGATTTTGAATGGGGGGTTCTTCCTACTGCTTGAGGGACCAGCGAGCGCCGAAGGCGCGAGGTTCCTAGGGGGGTCTGGGGCATGCTCCCCCGGGAAATTTTTAAAAACGAATCTTCTGAAATGGTATTTCCTGCATTTTTAGAGGATTTCAAAGAAAAAATCAGAGATAACTTTTGTCAATGACAAAGTGAGCTGTTTTCCTATGATCTCAGCCTCGCTGGTGATACGAATTCGAATCGGTCCATCTTTTAAAGAAAAATCTTGGAGATAAAAAGTGGACCAACAAGTGGACCTTTGAGCCTTGTGGGGGTTTTCATCCGAACCCCCCGAACCCCCCTGGCTACGGGCATGAATGTGGACTTTTCCACTGCACCAGGGGTAACTTACCATATGTGTAGTGGCTATAATTTTAACTCTTTCATTTCTGCAGGCTGCCCCCTCTGCTCTGTCTCGCTGTGTGCTGGCCGAGTTACCGACCCAAGTCTCCGGATACTTTAACACCTTCGGGATCGCCCCCCTCCCCACAGAGCCACCACCTGCCTACCCTGGTCCATCCCAGTAAAAAAAAAAACATCCATGCTGTGTCGCAAAGTTTTTTCTGATGTGTAGTTACAGTTAAGTGTCCACTCAAGGGGCCATAATAGATTTGGTCACAATATACATTGTCTTGTGGCAGCATGTCGGTAGATTGTACTACGCCTGCACGAAACTCAGATTTTTCACAGCTTTCGGTGGATGTTTGGTCACTGTTGCATCAGAATTTTGCCTGTTGCAGAGGATACCTTTTCCGACATACCGGTAACATCTGGAAACTACAGATGGGATATCTGTAGATGGTCTGCCAAAGTGCTATGCACACTACATTATGGTTATCGCACAGGTGCAGTACATTCTGCTGACATGCTTATTATGGCCAATTTTAATTAGGCAAAGCATGGCTACAATGACCAGCTGGCTAAAATGCAGAGGTGGCCAATATAATGATATCTGTTTAACTAGTTAAACTGTTATTCTGATGTACGGCTTTGGTATTGTTTTACTACCCAGTACTATGTTTGCTTTTTCTTCACTGAGCAAATACAACCTTCAGTGATTATTGACCATATTATAGTGATGAGATTTGATAGCACCATGGAGTTAAGATACATTTTATTTTAACTCCATGATAGCACTGAAAGTTGACTTTTCCCACTTGTTGGATTGGGAGTATCAACAGTTTGAAAATGATTTGGAATAAGGTACTGTATACCAAGGACATTATATAGAGAGGTCCTTGTGTATTATATAACCTTGAAATATTCATGGTGGTTTTCTTTTTTACCTTCTTTGTGGTGACTCTCCACTGCAAAATTATGACACTGTGAATATGAGTTTATGTGCCCAAGGAAATGTGCCACAGCATATTGTTTTGACAATGAATTGAATTTAAAACACTGCGAAAACAACGTCCTTCAAAGAAATCTAATCCATGCCAAAAAAAAGTACTGTTCATGTTGCAAGATGTTATTCAGGGCTTCAGTGAAAACAGACAACACTTGCCTTTGAGAGTGTTACCAAAGCCTTACATGTACATTTTGTGTAAACTGTCGAGCTCCAAAACATCTTTTGAATTAGCGGCTTGTTTGACCTACAATGTATACGCTAAAAGTTTGTATAATCCTACCCAGAAAGGCAAATTGTCTTTTTGTTTTCTTGTCTTGAAAATCTTTATTCTCCATGAGTTGTATTCTTTGTTTATTGTGCAAATAGATAAACACTGTACTACAGATATCTATGGAAAAAACATCAATATCTTTTGATATCCCATAAAACAGAAGTCTTAGATTATTTCCATAACTTAACAGACAACAGAAGGTCATTTGTATCAATTTATCCTTCTTTATTAGATAATGCTATAATAACTATAAATGCTATGAGAAAATTGAAAAGACTACAGATTTTAAACTTAGTGCTTTTTCCTCAGCTACCTTGTGGAAACTAGAATATGTGAACTATTTGGGAATTGTTAAAAAATGTCTGGCTATACATATTGATGTATTATCCAAAATTTGATATTTTTGTCTCAGAGTCTTTGTATAATGTCCTTGGTACTGATAATCTAATATAATGTCTTTCAACTCCAAAATGTGTATTGAACATTGTTAACTTTGTGATAGAAGAACTTTTGATAACAAGAACTTTATTGTGCAACAGATGTAGCAGGTACAACGTATGGCAAAATATACATACATAGTTGGTGATGCTAACATACATGCATAGTTGGTGATGTTAAAAATATCTAACACAGTTCTACTAACTGTATTAAGAATCTGGTCTACTTTCATAAACAATGTATAACAATAAAGAGACACTTATACTAATCTAACTCTATTGATAGTAATATATTGTGTCAGGAATTTATCACATTTTCTCATTTTGTCACCTGATATGTTTCTACATATCAAGTATGTATTTAAAAAGATTAACTAGTCGACAGGTGGTGGTGAAACAGTATTCTTACATTTCATATGTGAATCCTCCATGTAGTTACTTTAACTATTAACAGTTAATAATTATATTTGATATTATATGTTAATCTGAGATACAACTACAACTTATATAGTTAGATATTGCTAACTATTTCATTCGTGATTAAAATGAAAATTGCATATAACGTTATATTGCTCTAGCTGAAGCTATTTTACAAAGTTTTGTTCTCTAACTTCTCTAAGCATTAGTGGATTTTGGCAGATTATTTGTGACGTTGTTTCTCTTGGCTGAGGACATATTGTGGTATAGATAGCTGCAACTGATAACAGAAGACATGTCATCTTTTACACCTACATCTAGTTTTGATAAAAAAATACTTTGGAATGTGCTTTGCCAAATAGTGTCCTTAGTGTTTGGAGAGATCTTACTTGCTATCAAAATGATGATCATGACTACAATAACAATTGAGGGTTTTGACAATGAATCCTACAACTGCTGTGGTTGGACAGACATGGAAAAGTGGTATCCTGGATTCCTGGGGATATCTGTGTCTGAGTAAAGAGACTCTTTTTACACAACCAAGTCTTTTATTCAGCTGACGTTTTGGTGACCGTCTGTCACCTTCCTCAGGGCAATTCTGACTGGTTCACATTGCACTGCAGCACAGGTGTCGCTGCTACAGAACCAGTCAGAATTTCCCTGAGGAAGGTGACAGGTGGTCACCGAAACGTTGGCTGAATAAAAGACTTGGTTGTGTAAAAAGGGTCTCTTTACTCAGTATCTTACCAACCTGATGAAACTATTCGTGGATATCTGTGTCTATCTATAAGATTGTCATTTCAGCCATGGATCCAATGTTTCACCAAAATGCCATGCATGTAAAATGCCATTTCCATTGGAAGATGTTGATGTTTATCTAATTAACTTGTGGTTTTCTATTAATATTGGTGGCATGAAATAAAGTCATTTATATGATCAAAGATAACCCATAACTATGTATCTGTGACTTTACTTGTTATCCGTCTATTTGGCAAAGTTGCATTGTTAGTTACATTGAAAAACTTTAACAACTAGGAAGGAAAGGACTTTCTTCTACCATTTGGGCCAAAATATGTCTTTGAACATTTTCCAGTTGATTCAGAACCTATTTTTTGCAAATCAGAAAAAAAAATGGACAGGCAAATCCGACAAACAACAAATTGAATTGGTGTGGCCTTTCCTATCTTCCTATCATTGGATGGCTAACAGGAAGTACCAAAGTCCTTGTAACTATTCACCTGCCAATTTCCATTGAACTTGCCACATCGGAGAAACGGGCTGCGCGCGCCAGATACCTCCAGTCATTACACGCACAGCGGGGGTCTGGCGGGTACTAGAAAATAATGACTGATGCTCTGATTACCGAAACCTTTATTATTAATATTACTGTAGCTTTTTTTTAGCACAGAGTTGTCCTCATGGGTTCACGATCAAACAACCGCGCAGTTTCCGTAAACAACGTTTTTACACCTTCAACTAGTGACGGTAACATTACCAGCCTTATCGGTCAATCCGAATATTATTAGTTGATCATGGGGAGCAAAGACTAGGCTGACACAAGGAGGTTTAAACTTCCTCGGTAGACTCAACCTGCCGTAATATGGCTAAGACTACAGACGATGATAAGTGCCCGAGCACCCAAATCACGCTATTAATAAAGCGAGTCACCCCCCGTAAAGCCTGGTCCATTAATCACATAAACCACTGACAGCCTCTTGCCCTGAACGTCATTTTTCGCGGGTCGGCGTGCCACGCCCAATCGAATGCGCTGTGTCGTAATGAGGCGTTATGTTCTGTCTTTTGTTGTAAACAACGTGAGGAAACATAAACATTCATGTTCCGCTCATGTATCTAACTGGACTGGTAATACCAATATGATTTTTGGAAAGCTGGTGCTTTTTAGAAGCGATTCCAGGGTTTAGGCGCTCATTTCATATGGGATAAATTATTCATGAGCGAAGTTCCTCCACAGTTTGATTGGTCGTCCGAATGAGAGGCTAACTTCTGTGCTGAGTAATTCATTTTGCAACAAATATGGCGACACGGAGTTGTCAGAGGAAATCACGCCGAGGGTTGTGTGGTGGTGATTCTTGAAGAATTTTTTTCTCGCGCCCACGATGAGCTTGGGGTTTAACTCCCAGGGCAAGTACAAGCCCCACCGAAGACGGAAGAGTGCCGGTGCCGAGGTGGTGAACGGGGTGTCGGGCGGGAAGCACGAGGACCACAACCTCGGGGAGGGCGGTAAGTTTTCTCCGGTGCGAGATGTTGCGAAGGTTCGCCTGGGAGCTCCAAGGAACGAGTCGGAGGATCCGGTCTGGCTACAGGGGAGCCTCGACAGAGGAATCATTCGCGTGTACGAGGTAGACTCGGACCTCTGCGTGGCCGTGAGGTGCACTCTACAGACGAACGCGGCCGAGATCTGCCAAAAACTCGGCCTGGACGCCGCCGAGGTGCCTTTGCCTGCGTGCGATGATCTCACGACTACTGATGCTGCCCCACGCCTCCCCGCAGACACCGAAAAACTGAACGGAGACGACAATCCTGTCGGTAAGGAGTTGTCGAACGGTCTCACCAGGACAGACAAGGTTTGCTCTCTACATGTGCAATTCAACGGGGGTTCGGTGCGGAGACTGGGTGCCGGGGAGCTTCCGTTGGTCCTACAGCAGGAGTATCTCAGCCGCCTGGGCCTGACGGAGCCGCGCCGACTGCAGCAGGAGGGCCGCGCGCACGACCTGGGAAGCCTCATCAGATTCTACGCAGGTATGATCCTTCCCCACCACCCTTACTTCTTCATCACCCTACCTTAATCAGTCCTAGGTTTGTGTATTTGATTGTTTGTGTGAGCTAACGTAGGAAACCCAGCTGCCTTGGGCGGTGCGTTCGCCATCGATGTTGTTGATATTTGTAAGCGTGACTGTGTATGTGACATGACATCATCATCGCGGCGCACACACGCCTCACAAACATGCCGCCCTGCCCTCGTCTCGCATCTGGAGCGGAAAACGTCCTCCCGTGCCTCTGTTCCACCGATTTAAAAACCAACAACAACATGTCCAGGGGGAGAAAATCCCCCTCTTGTAGCAGATATTCACTAGAGTGAATAAACGCTAGCCCTAAACTCCAAAATTCCTGTGGTTTCCGTTGTACTGCAAACGATTGGGCGGGTCCACCCGCAACCACATGGTGTAAAATTATACACATCCTCAGTTCTCACCACATTAGCTCGTTCACAAAATTTACACCGAAAAAAAGTCAACCTAGTGACATGTATTTGCCAACAACGTGCCGGAATTTGTTTCTACTGCTTCATTATTATAGTATTGACAGCAATGTCAGCCAAAACACACATTTGACAAGAGGGCGTGTCAACTTAAAAACTACAACACTCATTTGCTTTGCAACCTCCACAATAACACGTATTTTATCCTTCAAGATTAGCAAGAGAAGTGCAGTGTTTACAAGGGATAAGAAAATTATGTCGTAAACGTCCAGTCCTGTAGGTCTGGAAGCCTTATCACTAGGAGAGGGTGTGTCCACATTGTTGACATAAACCGCTACATGTGTGGCTAGTTACATCTGATAGCTTGACAGCAAAATTACCTACCAAGCAAGTTTGTTGTGAGGTGTGAGATAATTTCAGCCCTAGTTTACACAGAAATGTTCAACCTAGGGAGCACGGCTTGTGTTGATATGTGATTGGTATGGGGTCGATGTCTGTCTTTTGCTTGGGTTTGTGTGGGAAAAAACGTGGGCATTGTTAGTCTGCAATGTTGTCCTCATTCTTCTTTTCAATGGGGGATCAATGGTATTCACAGTGCCAACATGACTGTCAAACAAGCTTTCCCATGGAGAAAAAAAGTGGTCTCCCAAGCGTGGAGAGAAGTTGGGACTCGGTAAAATGTTTGCGGTGCCGTTTGTTTTGTTTTGTTTCCAGTATTGAGTCATGTAGGGTGTGGTGCCTGGGAGTTCCCTGACCAAAGTACAGCCTAAAAACTCTCCATTAGGCCACACCAATTTAATTTCTTGGTTAACGGATTCGCCGCTTCATTTTTTTCTGATTTGCAAATAAAAATAAAAATCCAGAATCAACTGCAAAATGCTCATCTTTTGCCCTGAACAGTTGAAAACAGTCCTTTTCATCCTAGTTGTTACAGTTATTCCATCTTTCAATGCAGTAGTATCATTAAACGTTCAAAATTCATTGTTTAAATTTTGAACCAGCCTGGTGTGTTGACTTTATGGCTCCTATCGTACCATTTGGGGCCATAATAGGATGCCTAGGCCTGTTTTTATTTTATTTTTTTTTCGCCCGCCCGCTCCATTATTTTTGTAGAAAAATCCGTTAACCAAGAAATTAAATTGGTGTGGCCTTATGCAAAGATTGAAAGAATGTAACAAAACAGTAGATTATCATCTGTTTGTGTCCTTAATTCCTTGGCTTCATTATCTGCGAAAACCGAATTATGGGGTTGTTTTGTGGCTGGCTAAACTTGTTTTGTTGTCTCTCATGTAACACCTTTGTGGTGCCCTGTTCAAACAGTAAACTCAATTCTCCATGGTGGATTTGAAGTACTGCTTTGGTACTCATTGGGGCATATCAAAATGAAAGTTTGGCTGGCCCCTTGTGCAAAGAACTTTTGCCACTTGTGCAAAGGAGCAACAGAAACAGAGACGGGGGGCGCCACAGACTTTCTGCAACCTATGATCCACTGCTTACGGAGTCATATGTGTTATCTGCGTGACGTCACGGAAGAGGTGGATTGCTCATTCCTTGACAAAGACTGGAGTTGTACAGTTGAAAATTTGGGTGAGTCCAATTTGTTGTGTTGGAAATTACAGTTTAAACTTGCTGCATAATGATTTCTACCAACACAGATGAACTTTCAAGATGAGCAACAGAAAAGATTCCTAGTCCTTCAAAATTGTCACCAAGTATTTACTACCAGGACAGGTAGTTAGATGCTGACAAATGCCAGGTTGACAGCAAGGATTGAGTGATGATTCAGAAAAGGGCTCTGGATTTTGTAGTCCGGCCATGCCTGTAATGTGTTTGATGTGCTGATTTCTGTGTTTGATATCAAGGAAGGGGTGGGGGTTAAATTTGTGAGTTTGCAGATATCTTGCTTAGTAAGTTAGTGCCACAAAAACATTGCTTAAGAAAATTATTTTCGCTGAGGTTCAACTGTTAAAAGATTTGAACGTATGACGATGACAGTGGATGTACAAAATTTACATGTAAAGGAATTTTTTGCTCTTAATCTTATGGGTTCCACAAAGTTCATACACAAACATGTATAATGTAAAACCTGAATTGTACCAGTTTATTTTTTTTAGTTAATATTTGTATGCAGTTGAAAGTCAGCCTTACATCCAAGTATTAAAGCTGGTTACAGTTGCACTATATATAGTGGCAACTTCGGTAATATTACTCCAAACTGAACATCTGTAGTTTTTCACTGCTTGTTTTATAGGCATTTGGGAGGAATTATTGGGAACACATGTTTATGTTCTTAATCTTGTACTCATAATTAGAATCAGCTTTGGGTATGGTCTCCCTTCAAACTACCGCCCCCTCCAACAAGTAGGGAAAATGAAGTTGAATCTGACATTATAATAAAAAAAAATCCTAAGAACATGTAACAGTTGTAGAAATACTAAGAAATACCCATCTGCAGTCTGCAATTTTGCAGAGACAATTTCAATGTTGCAGAAGAAAAGTTTAGCAGCCTGCAATCTTGCAGACTGAAAAAAGTCAGGATAGGGGTTCAGTTGTGCCTGTGTAATGTTGTTTAGAAGCTTTTGCCTTACTACTGACTTTATAACGTACATAATATGCATGTATTTTTCATGTAAAATGTTTGCAAACATGCCATTTTGTATGAATTTGAGTTGGGTTTAAAAGTGCATATTTGCAGAAAATATTTCCAAATTGCAGAACAATATAATGTCATTCTGCAATATTGCAGAACATTGAAAAAAAGTATTTTGTGTAATAAAGGGAAGTGTTTATTATGATGTGCACTCTTCCAGACAGGTGTTTATTTTCTATAACAGCTAGCCCGCTAGCTTGTCCCGTTAGCCTGGCCAGGTCGTTAACCTGAACATCCATGTAATTATCACCCCAGATTACCTATTAACCACTTCACCTGCACTATTGTCTGAAGAGTGAAGTGCCCTCAGGCATGGCCTATTGTCCAGTCTGGCACAAGTGGTACTCTCCAAGCAGAGGTTTGGGGTTATTTTTAGCGTGTTTTTAGGCTTTTTTGTCGGGGTTTCCCTCTTGCACTGGATTTTTTTCCCCACCAAACCAGTGCAAAAGAGAAACCCTGATAAAAAAGCCTAAAAAAACGCTAAAAATAACCCCAAACCCAAACCTCTGCTTGGAGAGTACAAGTGGGTCCTGAAGTGGACTGGGCTTCCAGTACTCTCTTGCTTGTGTTGGTAGCTGCTTGTACCTGTACAGGTGTGTGTCAAGTATACCTGTGTAGGAACAAGAAGTTCTTCAATGGCAGTACACCTTTTCTTTGATGCCATACATGTGTACTATGGGTGTGTTTCATTTGCAGCAATATGCATTACATAAGTAACACTAACAGTAGCCATCAAAATTTGAAAGAAAAAAAACAACAAAACTTTGGATCACAAAACCTGTGTAGGAACAAGAAGTTCTTCAATAGCAGTACACCGTTTCTTTGATGTCATACATGTGTACTATGGGTGTGTTTCATTTGCAGCAATATGCATTACATAAGTAACAGTAGCCATCAAAATTTGAAAGAAAAAAAATTTGGATCACAGAAATTTAGATTTGTTTACTATGCATAATGTACTTGACTTGCATTTACAGTATATTTCTGCTAATGATTTGGCCAATACCTCTCACACATATAGGGAGGCCAAAGTGAAAGTTAAACACCAGGGGCATTTTCATGGCATGTTCCACCAGGAAATTGGAATTTCTATTATAATCCGAACATATCACCTGAAAGAACGCAAAAAGTTCTATAAGTCTGCCAAGTTTGGTTTGGTATTTCCCTCTATATCATGATTTATCGCAATTTGAAAACCGTACATAAGTCAGTTTTCACGCCGCTCGGGCCGTCGGCGTATTCAAAATGGCGCCCGCGCTAATGTATTAAATCCCATACCCCAATTTCAAAGTGCGCGCGCCCAGAATGGGCTTAGATGTAATACTAACTTTGATTGGTCGTCGCTTTGCTGAAATAAGTCGTACAGCCAATCCAAGACCAGCTTCTGAAAGCTAATATTTGGGAGAAACCAACTTGCCTATGCGGGGATAGCTTGGTGCAGTGCAGGGTTAGTGCGTGCGGTGTTGAAAATAGGTCATTTTTCTTCACGTAGTAACTCAAAATTTCTTAAAGATATCAAACTCCGCATAGAATGTGTGTGTAGGTAGCAGTGTTGTTCACATTTGTGTGGATTTTCGTGGCCATAGAAGCAATAATGTCGTGCGATGGCCATCGGCGCGGAGAGTGTCAGTCGGAGAGACGACGTTTTCAAGGCGCCGCCATTTTCCCTGCTGTTCAGAGGCATGAAGGACGTAACTTTCCGGTGAGTTTTCGACACGTAATCGAGTTTGTTTCACTCAAGCTACAGTCAAAGCACGCATATATAGTTTGTAGACATTATGTGATAGATTTTCTTTGTCTTGTACCTCGTAAATAGACGGCGAATTTAGAACATTTTCTTGTTATGTTATGGGGTGGCGGTGGGAGGGGGGCGCACCAACATGTTTCCAGTTGCAGTTTTGTTTTATAATTCATACCATTTTTGGGAAAGAAGGTTTTGCCTATAGTATCCCGATCTCGAATCAGCCACATGTTGCGTACTTTATGCACTCCTAATTTAGTTATTTCTCTGGGTTTAAATTCATTTATTGACTGTGGTAGCACAAATTTTATTGTGTTCATATATTTTGTATTCATTACATAAGAAACTCACTAGCCATGGGGTAAATTCTTCCAGGGTTCAGAATATAACAAATATTGTCTCTAGGATTTATTGTGGTGATTTCATTATTGCTTGTGTGTAGGACCTTTTTTAAGTACCATGTATGGAATTCATTAATTTTTTTATGTATGTTCAATTTTTTTATGTATGTTCAATTATTCATTTCCTTCTGTAATTTATCTGATTTATAGGCTAGACGAAGATGGACTTCCCACATCAAGATGTACATTCCAGTCCCTCACAAACTGGGATGTCCTGGAAATGTTCGCTACACGCAAACATACTTATGCCCTCACACCTGTAAAAAGATCCAAGCTAAGGAGACTCCTATGGCGCAGCTCCGTCACGTCGCGCTGTACAAATAGGTGAGCTGAATGAAATCACTTACACGCTATTTCACTCAAGTCAGTGACTTTGTATTATGTTGAAATAATGTGTCTTTTATTGCTAAATACATGTATGTCTTTTGTTTCTGTATCTCCAGCAGAGAGCAGTGAATCCAGCGACGAGGAGACACCTCTGATCTGGCGCAGCTTCGCCATCCCAGAAGTGGCCCACGATGTGGGTTCGCCATCGCATCGGCACTATAGACAGGTTTGACTGTACTTCCCTTTCCAAAGTGCTGATGTCACATTGCTGTGTTTTCTGAATTATCTTACTTAATAATGACAACCAACTATACCCTTTTTGTGGCTTTGATTTCTGTAGGTCACGAGGACCCATGCAGCTCCAGCGAAGACTTCGGTGAAGACGACATGCGAACGTTGGCACACCTTGCATATACTATAGGGAAGGAGGCACCTGTTACAAAATGCCATGTTTAGATTTATCAGTATATGTGCACTAGGGTTATTAAGACCACTGTCACTGATTTCTGCAATAGAGCATACTTATATCATATTGGAAGTGCAATTTGATGCCTCAAGTTCCATTGAAAGTTGTTTTTTGCGTGGACAGAAAATATCTCATGTGGGGTGGGGAGGGGGGCGGTTAGTACAAAATGCCAATTTCAAGTTCAGCTATCTCTGTTTCTGTGTACAATAGGCTTATTATTGCTATAGATTAATGAAATATAGCATAACAGCACATTGTGGGTGCAATTTCGTGCCTCTACTTGCATTGAAAGTTGTCTTTTGGGTTGACAGAAAGTGTCTCATGTTGTCATAGTTGGGGTGGGGAGGGGGGCGGTTGGAACAAAATGTCATTTTCAAGTTCAGCTATCTCTGTTTCTGTGTACAATAGGCTTGTTATTGCTATAGATTAGTGAAATATAGCATAACAGCACATTGTGAGTGCAATTTCATATCTCTACTTGCATTGAAAGTTGTCTTTTGGGTTGACAGAAAGTGTCTCATGTTGTCATATTTAGGGTGGGGAGGGGGGCGTTTAGTACAAAATGCCATTTTCAAGTTCAGCTATATCTGTTTCTGAGTACAATAGGCTTGTTATTGTCATGGATTTGAAAAATATAGCATAACAGCACATTGTAAATTCAATTTGATGTCTCTGGTGCCATTGAAAAATGTCATTTTGGTTGAAAGAAAGTGGGTTTGTTACAATATTTTGTAATTTGGAACTTAACCATAATTTCTCAGAAATTAGGGAGGATATATAATATTTGGTACTTGTTTCATCTGTTTGGCCACAAAACACACATTTTGAGCCCAAAACCAGCTCTCTACAGCAAAAAATAAAGAATTTCACTTTGCCGTTTGTTTTTTTGCCTTAAATTTTGGCAATTTTCGCTCCGGCACCAGATTTACGGGTACTTGCGAATGAGTATGAAGTGTCAGAGACAATCAAGGACATATCAATAGCTTCATCCAACAAAGTTTTGTTCATATCTTTAAAATATTTACTGAGAAATAGTTGTTTCTGGTTTTATTGACTTCTGAAAACCATACTTCTGCATATATTTACTGCGCCGTGTAAGCCGATTTTTGTAATTTTTTTCCATTTTCACAAGCAATAAAATTCAACTTCCCAAAAAGGTATGACTCTGAAATTTTCAGTGACTGTACTTTGTAGCACGTTCTAACAGTGTATGGCGTTTCAATGGTCAGCAATGCTTAATTCTTCTGTAATGTGCTTTCAAAAATGCTTCCTGGGAACTTTTCACTTTGGCCTCCCTAACACATACACCATATATAGATCTTTTGTGTCTTCCCACAGTGTATCCTTTGTAATAGCCTGCAGAAATAGCTATATACTGCAAGATGTAACCACCGCAAATGTAAATTGCATTTACATAACAGTGTATTTCTACTAATGATGTGGCCAATTCCTTTCACACATACTTTACACAACCATATATAGATCTTTGTGACAGTGTATCCTTTGTATTGTAATAGCATGCAGAAATAGATATATACTGCAAGATATAATGACCACCACAAATGTAACTGCATTTACATAACAGTGTATTTCTACTAATGATTTGGCCAGTACCTTTCACACACACACAACCATATATAGATCTTTGTGTCTTCCCACACCCACAGTGTATCCTTTGTAATAGCCTGCAGAAATAGGTATAAACTGCAAGATATAACCACTGCAAAATAACCACCACAAATGTAAATGCATTTGCAGAACAGTGTATTTCTACTAATGATTTGGCCAGTACCTCACACACACACAACCATATATAGATCTTTGTGTCTTCCCATACCCACAGTGTATCCTTTGTAATAGCCTGCAGAAATAGCTTTTACATGACAGAATGAGTTTGCCTTGTCCCCAGGACTACAGAAGGGATTTGTCTCCCATAAAACATTCAGCCTCGCAGGTATGGAGGCTTGAAAGCCCCTGAATTATAGCGGTAACTGCAAGGATTGGCAGGTAATATGAAATACATGATTACCGGCTTCCAATTCTGTATAGGTTTTAGAGGAATAATCTATCTATACACACACGCTGTATCTTTATTTATACACAGGCTTTGTGGTAGATGAATACCAATGCCCTCATTTGCAGGGTTTTCGGTCCAAAAGTTGAATGGTAATCAAAAATTAAAGGAAAGCTCTAGAGTAAAGAAGAACCCAGTGAATTATAAGATGAGGACTAACATGTGTCCTGCTGCTCAGTAGGTGTATTATACCAAGGAACTAGTGCAGAAGATAATGATGGTACTACAAAAGATACCAGATACACAGTCAGGGCTCGAAATTCATTTTTGGGAATAGGTGCACTGGTGCACCCAACCTAAAAAATTGGGTGTACAAAAAATTTTTTGGGTGCACCAATCCATGATAACTAGAATGTCAGCAATACCTAATTATGTTTTAAAGAAAAGTACTGCAACAATGATTCTATTATTTTTCTGACACTTGGATGTTAAAACAGGGCTCGAAATACTGGGTGCATGTGCACCTTGTTGCTGTGCACCCAATGTTTTTCTGTGGGTACACACCAGTGCACCTAAATGTTTTCATAGGTTTACATAATGTTAAATGTGTAGTAGTATACAGCATATTCGCAAATTCTTAGTGTCAGAAAATTAATATTGTCGAAGTACTGTACTTTTCTGTAGAAATCAAACATTTCCTAACATTCTACTTATTTTATCTTAAATAGTGCACCAAAAATTTTTTTTGGGGGTAAATAACGTACAAAAATATTTGGGTGCTCTGGTGCACCCACAGAAAAAAATTGGGTGCACAGCTCAGTATTTCCAGCCCTGCCAGTGTACCTCCCTCTGTTGTGAATGATCAATGATGCACCCCATGATGAAATGGGGCTCCTCCTTGCTGCCATCATTTGTTTTGAATGGGAGCACCAAACCCCATAATTTACCACAGTCTTCACATGTTCATGAGGAGAGGCAGCCATTTATCTTTCTGGGAAGCCTGTGACAAGGAAATTAGAAGTGGTATACCAGGTAGTTAGACGATTCCATTGGGATTTTTCTATTTCCTCCTTCTTGATTCAACACTTCTTCACTTTGCCTCTCCAATGCATCTCAGTGTAACCTTTTTGATGCTTTTTTTTCTTTTCCCAAGGTGTAGTTGAAATGTTGACACATGACATTGCAAAATGGCAGTGACAATATTTTTTGTTTTCCCCCATCCCAGAATTACAAAATGGACTGTCTCTTACGACCTTGCATAACATAATAATCTTACGTAACGTGATAAAGTGCATCTTAGGTTTGCTTTTGTCAGAGGATTTTTTATGGTACACTGATGATTAGTGGCCTTGCAAGTTGCTTGACAACATATCTACATATTCCCTAGATTCTATTATTATTAATCATAGAGTTAGTGTTCACAAATGCTTTCTTCATTTTGATCAAAATACACAATTATTAAAGCCAGAAAAAGAAATATTCATTATGTATTGTCGTCAGACGCAACTGTCATTTGTATATATACATCTAGATACAAGGGATATTAAAAAAACACTGTATTAAATTAGATTTTAAATTACAAAATATGAATTATGTAGGTAAGTATGACTATGGTAAGTATGGAGAAATAGACACAAGTTAGGTTTATATATACAGTTTATTGCAAATACTTGCCCGAGGGCTAATTGCAGTTACAAACAACATAAGAAAGAAAATACAATGGTATGTGAGACTATATCTACTTCTAGTATTATACTATATTCTACAACATATATGGTACTAGTTTTACTGGGTTTGACTTCTTCTTTTTAGGCAGGAAGACGAATTTACCCACTTCTTCTATAATATGTGGGTTCTTTGATTTTAGTAGTAAAATTGTTTATACGATCATACAGCCATCTTTTTTGCTAATGTCAAAATCTGGAGGCGACAAAATCTCCTGGATATCCCTCTAAACCTGACAAAACGTAACCCGCTTATCTCAATCTAATTAGTATATTGCCATGGTAACGGAGTGGTGTGATCCCCTGACAAGATTACTTGGTGACATTTGGCTGTTGGATGCAGTAATTGCCTGCCAATATCTCAGGGAACTGAAGGAGGGATCAGTTACAACCTCCCTGTATCCAAGGAGGCCATAGCTGGATGCAGAGGGAAATACTCGATGGTACTCAGTGTTAGAAATACCCATCTGCAGTCTGCATTTTGCAGAGACATTTTTAATATGATATGGCAGAAGAAAAATGAAGCAACCTGCAATTTTGCAGGATTCAATGGTGTTTGAGAGCTTTTGTGTTTACTACTGACTCTATAATATACAAGTAATTTTGCATGTATTTTTTCAGAACATGCAATTTTATGTATGCCTAAGTTTAAATCCGCAGTTTAAATTTGCAGAAAGTATTTTCAAATTGCAGAACAAAATTTTGGCATTCTGCAATATTGCAGAACACTGAAAAAAAGTATTTCTACAAGTGGTACTAGTAATATAAAACAAAATATGCTGGAGAGGATTTTTTTGCAGAAATGTAGGAAATATTACGTGCAGAAATGTAGGTTATTTATGTGCAGAAAAATGAGGAAATATTTGTAGGAAATAATATGGTGCAAAAATGCTGGAAATGTTGTATAGATTGTAATATACTTCTTATTTCATGTCCTAATCACACAGTGC